TTTTAAATATCTGCAAATCATACAGTAAAATCCATTCATAAAAATCCAATGTTACTCTTGTTACTTTTTTGTTTTGTTATATTTTTTTGAGAATTTGATGCTAACGCCAGGTTTCAATGAACTATTATGTACGTCAATAGTGAAGTTAATTTATTCTTTAACTTTTTTTTTTTTTTTAACAACTTTTAACATTTTGACGTAGTTACAAAATGGCCACCTACACAGTGAAACACTGACAGATTTTAAAACAGTAATTCTAGCCAAATCTGAAAATGATGTAATCTATTTGCATTACTGTTTTAAGTTGATTTAAGGACAAACATTTCAGGAGACTTTGACACTTTAATCAAGTAGGGATTTTTAGAATTTTAAGGATCACTATAGGGTCAGGAACACAAAAATGTATTCCTGACCCTATAGGGTTAAAACCACCATCTAGTCACCCTGGGCCCCTCATGCCTCCTTAAATATAGCAAAATCTTACTGTATTCAAGCCTGAAGCTGTAACTCTGCATGCTGTTTGCCTCAGAAAACCAAGCTGTCTGCTGACATCATCAGAAGTGGTAGCCTGATCCAGTCACAGTGCTTTCCCATAGGATTGGCTGAGGCTGACAAAGAGGCAGATCAGGAGCAGAGCCAGCATGATTCAAACGCAGCCTTGGCCAATCAGCATCTCCTCATAGAGATGAATTGAATCAATGAATCTCTATGAGGAAAGTTCAGTGTTTGCATGCAGAGGGAGGAGATACTGAATGTTTGGATGCATTTTAGAAAGCCATGACACAGGAAGGATCTCTAACAGCCATCTGAGGAGTGGCCAATGAAGTTATCACTAGGCTGTAATGTAAACACTGCATTTTCTCTGACAATTTTCTTTACAGAAAACAGCCTAAAAGTAATGATTCTACTCACCAGACCAAATTCAATAAGCTGTAGTTGTTCTGGTGACCATAGTGTCCCTTTAATATTGTTTCAATATTTTCTCTTTTAAATCTCACTGAAATGTTGGTCGTTAATTTGAACTGTATATTTCTTTCAATGAGATGGCAGGGATTATTACTATTTCGGAATCTATTTTTGGAACTGTGTTCGGTAGTTTTATGTAGTTTAGAGTTTATGTAATGTGTACATTATCTGTCTACAGGCCTCTTTTTGTTGGCATGCTGATTGTATTTTCTGTACTGTGCCTTTGTGGCATCTGTAATAACAGTTGCTGCTCACAGTCTCGCTCAGGACCTCCGTCACCTAGAATGACCCCACTCAGGGACCTGGGACCGCCACCACCATATAGTGAGGTAGGTTTTGTGTTTTGTACAGATAGAATCACACACTTACCTCATTTACCTTATATACTCATGCATGCGCAAGAGTACAAAACTGGTTATCTGCAAGATTTACTACAGATCTCACACTTACTCAAGGTGATGCCATAGTTATATTTTGTGCATTGTGAGAGAAGACACCTTATCCCACCACCCATTGCAAAGTCTAAGCGGGCTGTCTGACAATCAAGCAGGCCAGCCCATTGATAAGTTGAGCATTATTTTAGCTTTGCAAGACACTGCTGAGTTTGGCTCACCTGTCCCACTGGTCCATATAATTTCTCTGATGTCCCACTCGGTGCTGGAACATAATCTTCTGCCTAAATGATTGTTCCACATTCAGAGTGATCATGTCATGGAGGCCAGATGGTATCAGTCAGAACTCTTTCCCACCTGCAGGACATGTCTGAACCTGGTGACAATAGCAGTGGCGATCATAAGGATGTTACGTGGTTGGCCTTTAGGCTCCTTTAGTCAGTCATGTAAGTTTTCCAGTGACTAACTCTCTAATGGTTTCAAAACTATTAAAGGAATATGCCAAGCAACAGAACCACTATTGCGGGCTGTAGTGGTTATGGTGCCAGGAGTGCCCTGGAACGCTCTGTTTTAATATGGTTTGACAACTCATCTGGGTTCACTGAGCAACTTTTTTTGAAGGAATGTAAGTTCTCTCTCTAGAATAAAGTACGGTTAATGCAGGACACTCTCAGCCAATGAGTGCAGCCCTGCATAGCCCTGCTCAGCACTGTAGTGCTAACCAGATTCAACTACAGGGGAAGACTGGAGCAGGGGCTAAAATGGTTTGACTACTTACTGTGGTATAATGCCAGCACACTCCTCACACCATAGCCAGTAGAGCAAGCTTTACTAGCTTGGAGTGTTCCTTCAACAAATTATATATATCGGTTTTGGGAACAGCCCTTTAGAGGTTTCTCTTGGGTGATGGGGTGAAGAAGTACAAGTCGAGGTTACGCACCTCCTTTGCTGTCATAGTTTAGGTCTGGAGATTAATGCAGAAGTGTTTCCAAGGTTCTCTACTAATTCTCATTCTTCTTTTTGCTAATCAGGTCACAGCCAAACCGTTCCTATACCCGCCCAGTGACGCCAGCCCCCCCTCCTATAGCAGCGTCATACAGACACCAGAATCTTCAGTTGTCTGGGAGGACCAGAGCTAACACGGGATACCGGACTGTGTAGAGGTCTATGATAATTTGCAGCTGCTTCCTGTCCCCATGCAGGAGACATCGCGCGGATTAAGCTGAGAGTTACACTGTGCACTTGGAGCCCCGTGCAGAAGGCAAATGTGGAGGATCATAAAAACAGCTGTCGCGGTTATGTGAATCAATTGAAGGAGTTCTATGGTGGAAGGAGAGAATGTGTGTGAAGCTACAAGATGTTATGTTATGTTCTATATAAAGTTATTTTAACTGGTTCAATTAAACAATAGGAGCTGCTATAGGGAGAGGTTCTATGGAGTAATAGGAGAAGTTATAGGGAGAGGTTATATGGAGTAATAGGAGGAGTTATAGAGAGAGGTTATATGGAGTAATAGGAGGAGTTATAGAGAGAGGTTATATGGAGTAATAGGAGGAGTTATAGAGAGAGGTTATATGGAGTAATAGGAGGAGTTATAGGGAGAGGTTATATGGAGTAATAGGAGGAGTTATAGGGAGAGGTTATATGGAGTAATAGGAGGAGTTATAGGGAGAGGTTATATGGAGTAATAGGAAGAGTTACAGAGAGAGGTTATATGGAGTAATAGGAGGAGTTATAGAGAGAGGTTATATGGAGTAATAGGAGGAGTTATAGGGAGAGGTTATATGGAGTAATAGGAGGAGTTATAGGGAGAGGTTATATGGAGTAATAGGAGGAGTTATAGGGAGAGGATATATGGAGTAATAGGAGGAGTTATAGGGAGAGGTTATATGGAGTAATAGGAGGAGTTATAGGGAGAGGTTATATGGAGTAATAGGAGGAGTTATAGAGAGAGGTTATATGGAGTAATAGGAGGAGTTATAGAGAGAGGTTATATGGAGTAATAGGAGAAGTTATAGGGAGAGGTTATATGGAGTAATAGGAAGAGTTATAGAGAGAGGATATATGGAGTAATAGGAGGAGTTATAGGGAGAGGTTATATGGAGTAATAGGAAGAGTTACAGAGAGAGGATATATGGAGTAATAGGAGGAGTTATAGAGAGAGGTTATATGGAGTAATAGGAGGGGTTATAGGGAGACGTTATATGGAGTAACAGGAGGAGTTATAGGGAGAGGTTATATGGAGTAATAGGAGGAGTTACAGGGAGAGGTTATATGGAGTAATAGGAGAAGTTATAGGGAGAGGTTATATGGAGCAATAGGAGGAGTTATAGTGAGAGGTTATATGGAGTAATAGGAGGAGTTATAGAAAGAGGTTATAGGGAGTAATAGGAAGAGTTACAGAGAGGTTATATGGAGTAATAGGAAGAGTTATAGAGAGAGGTTATATGGAGTAATAGGAGGAGTTATAGGGAGAGGTTATATGGAGTAATAGAAAGAGTTATAGGAGAGGTTATATGGAGTAATAGAAGAGTTATAGAGAGAGGTTATATGAGTAATAGGAGGAGTTATAGAGAGAGGTTATATGGAGTAATAGTGAGGAGTTACAGAGAGAGGTTAGTATGGAGTAATAGGAGGAGTTATAGAGAGAGGTTATATGGAGTAATAGGAGGGAGTTATAGGGAGACGTTATATGGAGTAACAGGAGGAGTTATAGGGAGAGGATGGAGTTATAGGGAGAGGTTATATGGAGTAATAGGTTATAGGAGGTTATAGTGAGAGGTTATATGGAGTAATAGGAGGAGTTATAGAAAGAGGTTATAGGGAGTAATAGGAAGAGTTACAGAGAGGTTATATGGAGTAATAGGAAGAGTTATAGAGAGAGGTTATATGGAGTAATAGGAGGAGTTATAGGGAGAGGTTATATGGAGTAATAGAAAGAGTTATAGAGAGAGGTTATATGGAGTAATAGAAGAGTTATAGAGAGAGGTTATATGAAGTAATAGGAGGAGTTATAGAGAGAGGTTATATGGAGAACCGTGAGGAGTTATAGATAGAGGTTATATGGAGTAATAGGAGGAGTTTTAGTGAGAGGTTAAATGGAGTAATAGGACGAGTAATAGAGAGGTTGTATGGAGTAATAGAAGGAGTTATAGAGAGAGGTTATATGGAGTAATAGTAGGAGTAATAGAGAGAGGTTATATGGAGAACCGTGAGGAGTTATAGGGAGAGGTTATATGGAGTAATAGGAGGAGTTATAGGGAGAGGTTATATGGAGTAATAGGAGGAGTTATAGAGAGAGGTTATATGGAGTAATAGGAGGAGGTATAGGGAGAGGTTATATGGAGTAATAGGAGGAGTTATAGGGAGAGGTTATATGGAGTAATAGGGGGAGTTATAGAGAGAGGTTATATGGAGTAATAGGAGGAGTTATAGAGAGAGGTTATATGGAGTAATAGGAGGAGTTATAGAGAGAAGTTATATGGAGTAATAGGAGGAGTTATAGGGAGAGGTTATATGGAGTAATAGGAGGAGTTATAGGGAGAGGTTACATGGAGTAATAGGAGGAGTTATAGGGAGAGGTTATATGGAGTAATAGGAGGAGTTATAGGGAGAGGTTATATGGAGTAATAGGAGGAGCTATAGAGAGAGGTTATATGGAGTAATAGGAGAAGTTATAGAGAGAGGTTATATGGAGTTATAGGAGGAGTTATAGAGAGAGGTTATATGGAGTAATAGGAGGAGTTATAGGGAGAGGTTATATGGAGTAATAGGAGGAGTTATAGAGAGAAGTTATGTGGAGTAATAGGAGGAGTTATAGAGAGAGGCTATATGGAGTACTAGGAGGAGTAATATTGGACAGATGTTGAATTTGCACTGAAATGCACTTTTGCTTTTGATGAGAATGATGTGTGTGTGAGAATCAGACATACAGTGACAAAATTATAACTTAATTTAATTTCTTTGAAATTTAAATAATGTAAAATGATAATGCGAAGAGTATATATCAGTCCATGTACAGTTGTTTTCAAGTGTATCTTTGTATTACATTTGTACGTAATTGTGTGCAGCCTGTGTACCATCTCAGTCTGTGTTCCCATCTCTCTCACACACATTTCTTCTGTCTCATTCGCCTTTTAAGTCGTTTTTTTAGGATGAGTATATCTAAGTACAGGATCCTATTGAGAACAGCACAGGCGCAGATCAGCCCTCCGTGCACCGCCCCTGCCAGCCCACTGCTGAACACGTCCTGTCCTGTAACAGATATGACAGATACATTGTGTGGCATATACAAAGATTTAGAATGAAAATAGAAAATCATAACTATATGAATCTAAACTAGAACTCTTCGAGGCAGTCCAATAAATGCATTAATCTCTATATGTTATGTATAAGCTCACTGATTATACAACTGCTTCGAAGGCTCTCTTGCTATGTCAGGATCACTGAGTTTTGTCAGACGCTCTCCTGACTCGCCATCTCTTGTGATGAGCAATTCTTGTACTGACTGTCTCTTGGCAAATACAGTTCTCCTGATCCTCTCTCATATAGTCCTGGAATTTTCCCTGTCTGACAGATGTGTCGTGGAGTTATCTTATTTAATCTGATATTAACCTACGCAATCTCCACTATGCCATGAGAACTCTCCTGGCCCGTACTGCCTCTAGTATTTGACGCTCTCTTTCGTATGTGCTACATTGTCTTCATTACTGGCGCTGGCAACCACAATGTTCTTACCTGTCAGATACAGTCCTGGCACGGCAGTCTGTGCCCGCATCCTGTTAATAATTTCACACTGGTACCGACTGCAGTTCTGTTCAGCGCCGTACATAGATCCTTCCGGAGCTCGCAAATAATACTCGTTACTCACAGGTGTGGCTGCCTCCATGTAATCCACCTGTTCTCGGTATAAGCAATGATATCAGAAAAATCAGGAAAGGGCGGCAATGGATAACATGGGCTCCTGATATGTTTGGCAACTACATTTCCCATAATGCACACCTCTCGACATTGGAGGGTTTGATGGCAGGGCAGAGGGGACAATGTGAATAATGCCCAGCCATCGTTACAGGAATTCTTTCCCTGCGTTATTTTTTTTTATTTTATTTACAGTGAATATTTATGTAATGGCTGTGTGTGTGGTGACAGTGTGTGTGTTGTGGCTGTAATTGTAGCTGCTTGTGACTGCGTGTAGCTGGATGTGTGTGATGTATAGGTAAAGGAGAGCTATGATGTGTGTCTGTGCGTGGGTAATTGTGGGTAATTGACATGTTTGGCTGTGTGTAGGTCCATGATTGTGCTGTGGGGGTAGCTGTAAGTGATGTATGTGGATGTATGAGTATGCTGTGTGTGAGTAGCTGTGAGTGATGCGTGTTGCTGTATGTGGATAGATCAATGTGATGGGTGTGAGGAGGTGGTGTTTATTCCAGCCTGCCTACTGACTGTATAGGAGTGAGGATCTGACTATATGTCTATGAATGTGTATACGTATAGGTATATGCTCATGTATAGATATATGTAACACCTTAATTATTTTTAGCAAGTGGCACAGCAATGACATTTAGAAGAGGAGGGGCCAATATAGCCACACCAATAATAAAATCTGCAGCCAAATTCATGAACCCTTCACTCACACCCTTAAGGCATGACAAAAATAATTATGTAATTTCTATCCGGGTATGCCCCTTTAAGTGTGTTTGGGGTTACACACAATCTATAAAAGGTTATGGCAATCAGAGAAAGATTAAGATCCCATGGTGCCCTTGACTAGTTATCAGTTTGGGACCCCCTTTATTCTTCACATAGGGATGGTTATTGGTCTAAGCAAAATCATGGTCCTGGTGACCCTGTCTGACTCTGCGCCCTACGCAGATTCCAGGTCGGGCTTTTGGCTATCCCACTCTGATGCATTTAATGTGTACACCTATAACAATTATTTATTGTATCCATATTATATCTAGCTCTTATTTGGAAACATGCATGTCTTGTTATGTGTCGGGTACCTTGCCAGCAAGCTGTGGGAATTCTTCTATTGCTCTCGCTAGCATTCTCTCAGCAAGTCTCATTTTAATTGCATCATACTCTTCACCACGATGCCGTGGCGTCTTTCCTCTCCACTGAGAGAACCAATCATAGGGAGCCATGGTCAAAAGAGTCATACACGATCGACCTGTGGGGAGAGGTCATTGAGATATGGGTTTTTAAGAGGCACAAATGCTAAATATCTACACAATAGAATATTTAAGGTTAACTTGTATCAGAAAATTACTTTTACTGTACTTGTCCATTTCTGCAGAGTATTTAATATTCTGGGAATAACATTATACTTTCAGGTTGTATACGGTAACCTATTGTCCAGGTAGCCATCATCTTAAGAGGTGTCCTTCAATGCTGAAGGCTATGGCACTTTCGTTTTTCTATTGTACATTTTACTTTTTATAAAGTATTTTTTTTATCACTCGCTCCATCCTCACCTGGATGTCTTTGGTCATACGTAGGATCCTTGGCAGATGGAAAGGTGATAAACATCAGGGGCAGGTTCTCACTAACTTCTTCACAGTTCATAGACAAGAAAGTCCCCATCCTGAAGGAGAGAAAAAGAGGCACCTGTAAAAATGTGAAGATGTGATAAGAGTTCCTGTAGTCATGCACATGGTCCAACCTCTGTGTGGACATTCATCTAAACATCTTAAGTGAGAATTTGCTCAATAAGTGAATCCTGACACATTGCGGTTTATTCCCAGAACAGTTAAACGGGGTAAATGCAAAATCAAATTTCAAATTGCAGCCCAATTAACTGATCTGGGTAGTCAACGAAAGAAAAAGACTCGCCTATCGCTTAATCAATGTTAAACATCTCAGCTCAAGACTGTGTGACTGAGAATCAGACACACTTAGGGGGAGATTTATCAAACTATTCTGAAAAGTGACGGCCTAATTCTATCATCATTTTGATCATTCTAAAAGCAATTTAAAAAGAGACAGTTTTCTGAATGACAAATTCTGTCAGTTTTTGCAGAATTTACCATTTCTAAGAACACCAAATTTAGATTGGCAGAAAAATGAGAAGTGAAACAGACCACTTTTCCGTCAGAGAAAGTGGCCAAAAGATTGATAAATTTGTTGCATTGCTGGAAAAATGGTTTATAGCACAAAAATTTAAGTGAGAGACCAAAGGATGAAAAAATAGGATTTAATAGACTGTGACGAAACCTTTTAGAAAATTAGACATAAAAGTACTGGTTGTACTTTGATAAATCTCCCCCTAATTATCTGAGCTTCTGCCCATTCACCCTAAGAATTTGTCAATTTTCCACGAGATTCTAACAAACCACCCATTCAAATTGAGATTTAAATTCTGCCCATTCCCTTTAGGAGCAGCTCATTAATGAAGAAAATCCAATATTATATACTTTGATCTGTGGCTCTAAAATTCTACCCATTTACTCTGATTCTTAGAGATTGTGTCCCTTCACTCATAGAATCTTTCAATTCCGTTTGAAAAAACCTCCATTCATTCATTCACGGATAAAAGTAAAAAAAAAAAAAAAAATGAAACCAAGGGGGAGGTTTATCAGGATAAAATAGTTCTGGGTACAAAGTGATACATGTTGTAAGTCGTTTGGTTTCCATGGTGATTTAACGTTCGTTTGCCTCAGGATCGTACCTATTTTTTTTACATGATAGTTAACTCCTTAACAGGGTATTTTCTAAAGTGAGAATTCAAAGTGAATTAAAAGTAATTTTCAATTTTAAAGCCAGAGTTTCCAAAGTTATAGCTGACCGAGAGATCTTCTCTGATTTGGCCATTTTGACCTTGAAATTTGAAAATCACTTTGAATTATCACTTTAGTGGTCTAATCCATAGATTAATCAGATATAACAGGCATAGGCAGCCTTCGCACCCCAGATGTTTTGGACTACACCTCCCATGATGCTTTGCCAGCATTACGGGTGTAATAGCATTATGGGGGATGTAGTCCACAACATCTGTAGTGCCGAAGGTTGCCTATCCCTGATATATACTGATGACACCTGTTGTGAGAAAACATAGTACGATATAGGGTAATCTCATACATTGGCTGGTGGGAAACATAATCTAAAATGAATTGACTGAACATTTTTCCATGTGCTTGAGATGATCTGGTAGAGGTTTGTGAGATGGCGATTAGGTCTTTGTGTTTGATGGAATGATAATCCTATGAAAACCTTGTGTTATTTCAGTTATATGAGATGAACTGTGGACTCACAAGCTGTTCAGGTCATTATCTTTGTAAATCCATAGGTTGGTGGACTGTAACCCCAACTGTTCAGTTGACCCTCGAAGTCCAACAAAGACTAAAAAGCACCCCATTCCATACTGCAGGCGGGAGAGAAGAGAGTGGACCTCTATCATGGGAGAGAAATGAGAGAGAAGAGGATTCAGATCATCCAAGTGACGGGATAGAAAAAGAGAAAACATAGATAAGTTAGCCAAATTTCCAAGTAGAACGATTAAAGACTAATAACAAATATCATGATTAGGGTTTTACATATATTTACACACTGGGTTAATATACATTCTTCAATCTCTGTAATTCAGTCTCAATAATAAGAAGCACACTGTTTTAGAAGTAAAGATAAAGGTTCTTGGGATTTACTTACTAAATCGGGAATTGTGGAGAATTTTACAAGGGATTTAAAAATTACAAGCCAAAATACCTGAGCTGGAAGATCAGCTAAAGTAGAGAATGTTTGCAATTCCTTTCAATTCAGCACAGATTCCAGTTTTCCAAATGGCTGGGTTTTTTTTGTTTTTTTTTAAAGAAAGTACTATTGTTTGTGTGGATTATCATATTACTTGTGAAGAGTTTAGCATCAATTAATAATTAGTACTTTTATTTTATATGACTGTTATCAGGGCTCAAAGGTCCCTATTACTACAGAGACCTAAAAATTAATTTGACTTCTGCTATAATCATGTATGCAAATTCTATATCTCAAGAAATGCCTCTGTAACCCCATATCCAAAATGGGTATTTTGTAAAGTTTAAATCTTCATAAAAGACTCACATTCACTGTGTTGGAATTTCACGGAAACAGCAACACAGTCAAAAGATACATTAAGACAAAGTAGGGAGTACTTATGGAGTCTCGATTGACAAACGGAGGAGTTACCTTTTGCCAAGTTTGTCATTTCCCCCAGCCGTTACCAGTGAAGAAAACCAAAAAAGCTTTTTCTATGGAGGCTCCAGCGGTCTCGCTTGATCCTACATGGACCTCAATGCATGTGCGAAAGTAGCGCATTCACATGAGCGCCTGGTAAATGAAGCCCCAGGAGCTGAAGATGACTGTATAGAAATGGATGGAGTCGCCCGTAAGCTAAAAGTTCAGATGTGTACGAAATACCTTCCCTTGCCCTCCTTGGCCTCCAGACCACAGCAGAGAGGTCACTGTCGGGGGTCTTTGCAAAGGTCCTCCAAATAGAGATACCTGCCTAACCAGATAAATAGGTAACCAAATAAAAGCATAACAGTAAAGGGCTACACTAAAAAAAAATACATGTACAAAAATTATTACTGTATCTATTCTTCGGTCTAAATACATATACTGTATGTCACATTATTATTATTATGATATTTATAGAACGTCGTCAAATTCCGCAGCGCTTTACAATGGGTGGACAACCAGACATGTAGTTGTAACCAGACAAGTTGGACACACAGGAACAGAGGGGTTGAGGTCACTGCTCAATGAGATTACATGCTAGAGGGAGTGGGGTAAAATGACACAAAAAGGTAAGGATAGTATTAGACTAGTGACAGTTGCAGAAGAGGAATCAGTCAGGAACTATTAACAGTTTAATTGATACGCTTTTATGAAGAAGTGGGTTTTTAAACGATTTTTTGAAGGGGTGGAGACTGGGTGAGCATCTAACGGAGGAGGGAAGCGAGTTCCACAGGAACGGTGCAGCCCTCGAGAAATCCTGAAGGCGAGCATCAGAGGTGGGAGTACGGACAGAAGATAGACGTAAGTCTTCAGCAGATCGTAAGGGCCTAGACGGGACATACTTGTGTATAAGGTAGGATAGATAGGTGGGAGCAGCATTATGTAGAGATTTGAAAGCAAGAACCAGAATTTTAAATTGAGCTCTATATTTTATAGGAAGCCAATGTAGGGACTGACAGAAGGGTGAGGCATGGGAGGTGCGGGCAGACAGGAAGATGAGCCTCGCCGCCGCATTCATTATGGACTGTAACGGCGCAAGTTGGGAGCCCGTAGGACCATTGAGAAGCGGATTACAGTAGTCAAGGCGAGAAAGGACAGTGGAATGGACCAACACCTTAGTCTAATCTGGCGTTAAGTAGGGGCGGATGCACGCAATGGTTTTGAGATGGGAATGACAGCATTTGGCGATAGATTGAACATAAGGTTTGAAGGAGAGGTTGGAGTCAAAGAGAATACCTAGGCAGCGAGCCTGCGTGGTGGAGCTGATGGTAGCGCCGTTGACTTGGAGGACTTTATTCTCTAGAAGCATTGATTCATTCGGCATCAATATTATATATTAGTTTTACTAATTCTTGCTCGGTATGTACATTTTAAAATCATTTTTGTACATGAACTTTTTTTTTAGGATAGTCTCTCCCTGTATTGTCTTTAATTATTTACTAGGGAAGTAATATGATAAGCCATACTTTACATAGTCTAAAGACCTATTGAACACAATTCTTGAGCATTGGGTATGAATACTTATGTAATAATCATTATATTAATGACATCAGGTCAGGTCATAAGGACATCATTTAATTAGCATCTCCCAAACTTATTAAAGGGAGCATGTCATCACATAAACATATTACGTTCTTCTAAAAGATCTTAAAATTCTATCTATACATCGTGTTTATAGTTTTGCTAGCAAATGTATAGATTTGGAATGAGAGAGAGGGAGAGCAAAAGAGACCTCACAAAAAGGTCCCTCTGTTCTCCACCCATAGCAACCACAGCACGTGTGCTATGGTTGCTATAGTAACTACTTGGCCGGTGCTCCGTTCAGATGCTGGCAAAAAACACATGATAGTGCATATTGTCTGCATATTTTGAGTAGAAAGTAAAGACTTCCTACTTTGCTGTACTTTGGATGAAAGATAACAAAGGTATTACCGTAGTTGGATATCTAATTGGATTATCGTATGCGTAATCTAAACAGTGGTAAACCAATTATGGAAATTAATGAATGGTTAGCACATGGTAATTCACATGTAGAGCTCAAAGTACATTTGTGAAAAAAGGACAGTGATACTGAATCTGGAGGATAATGAGACCAACATATTTATTCTGGAAAATTACCATATACCTTCATTATTCTACAAAGTTTTGCTCATTTACTAATAATTTTAAAAAAATAATGTAAAAGACAAACTTTCAAGAGTTTTCCTCTCCTCGATCATACAATCAATCTGCACTATCAAGTGTTATTCGCTTTAAACAGATTTTAACCAAACCTGTTTTGGAAAGTTTTCATACTGGATATATAAGTATTAAAAGTTGCACTTGTATGCACATTAAAAAAAGAAATAATTCAGTAGCATAACACTATCGGATGTTGATTAAAGGATAATTATATTAAAAAAATAATTTTGAGATAACAGTTGAACTTTAAGTATCATATAACCTATTACCTGGTTCCATAACTTATCAAATCATTCCTCAATCAGGGCTGTTTGAAGGAATTTTGGGGCCCCTAAGCAAAATACACATGGAGGACCCCCTGCCCCCGCACGCACACATGCACGCACGCACGCACGCAAAGCCTACAGGAACCACAGCATAGCCATACAGTTTAGGTTCACCCACACGTTATATAAATAGAAAAAGTTTACAGTGCAAATATTGCTGTTGCATATACTGTGCATAAATAAAAAATGTTTACAGTGCAAATACTGCTGTTGCATATAATGTGCATAAAATTTGAACATTTTCAACAATTGAACATTTGCAAAAAAACTCCACTGTACCATAAAATCAAATATACATTAAAAAAGTGCACAATGACTAAATCCAACATACTTAAAACACACACACTAACAGACAGACACACACACTGGCGTACATACCAGGGTCGCAGGGGTCGCGACTGCGACCGGGCCCGGCCCACCAGGGGGCCCGGCCGCCCCTGCGACCCGGTATGTACGCCCAGGGCCAGCCTCTTCCCCTGGGGGGCCCAGGAGCCGACCACCCCAGGGCCCCCCTGAGGCTGGCCCTGCTGCGGGTGGCCGGTCGGGCAGGCAGGCGGGCGCGCGAGGGAGCACTCAGTGCTTCCTCTTCAGCTCCCTCGCGCACCGCACTGATACCGGAGCCGGAAGATGACGTCATTCCGGCGCCGGCATCCCTACGCGGCGCGCAAGGGAGCTGAAGAGGAAGCACTGAGTGCTCCCTCGCGCGCCCGCCTGCCTGCCCGACCGGCCACCCGCCCAGGAGCCCCACTGGACCCCAGGGAATAATCCCCCCCAGCACTCCAAGAGGTAAGGAGGCTGGGGGGATTATATTAAAAAAAAAAAAATCATGTGTGAGTGTTAGTGTGAGTGTTAGTGTGTGAGTGTTAGAGTGAGTGTTAGTGTGTGTGAGTGTTAGAGTGAGTGTTAGTGTGTGTGTTAGTGTGTGTGAGTGTTAGAGTGAGTGTTAGTGTGTGTGAGTGTTAGTGTGTGTGAGTGTGTTAGTGTGTGTGAGTGTTAGAGTGAGTGTTAGTGTGAGTGTTAGTGAGTGTTAGTGTGTGTGAGTGTTAGAGTGAGTGTTAGTGTGTGTCTGCTAGTGAGTGTTAGTGTGTTAGTGTGTGTGTCTGCTAGTGAGTGTCAGTGAGTGTGTTACTGTGTGTGTCTTACTGAGTGTGTGTGTGTTAGTGAGTCTGTTTGATGTCTGTTAGTGAGTGTGTGTTTGTCAATGAGAGTGTATGTTTTGTAAGTGAGTGTGTATGTATGTCTGTCGCTGACTGTATCTCTGTCAGTAAATGTGTGTGTCTGTTAGCTAGTGTGTATGCGTCTGTAAGTGTGTGTGTGTGTGTGTCTTCAGCACTTACCTTTCTCCAGCGCCGGACTCCCTTGGCGCTGAGGATCCCTCAGCCTCTCAGCTCCGAATGCGACCGCGCACGCATTCAAACCGCCCATAGGAAAGCATTACTCAATGCTTTCCTATGGACGTTCAGTGTGCTCCTCTAGCGGCTGTCCGTGAGACAGCCACTAGAGGCTGGATTAACCCTCAGTGAAACATAGCAGTTTCTCTGAAACTGCTATGTTTTCAGCTGCAGGGTTAAAACTAGAGGGACCTGACACCCAGACAACTTCATTGAGCTGATGTGATCTGGGTGTCTGTAGTGGTCCTTTAAAGGACCACTATAGTGCCAGGAAAACATACTCGTTTTCCTGGCACTATAGTGCCCTGAGGGTGCCCCACCCTCAGGGACCCCCTCCCGCCCGGCTCTGGAAAGGGGAAAAGGGGTAAAACTTACCTTTTTCCAGCGCTGGGCGGAGAGCTCTCCTCCTCCGATCCTCCTCTTCTCCTCCCCGTCGGCTGTATGCGCACGCGCGGCAAGAGCTGCGCGCGCATTCAGCCGGTCACATAGGAAAGCATTCATAATGCTTTCCTATGGACGCTGGCGTGCTCTCACTGTGAAAATCACAGTGAGAAGCACGCAAGCGCCTCTAGCGGCTGTCAATGGGACAGCCACTAGAGGAAATAGGGGAAGGCTTAACCATTCATAAACACAGCAGTTTCTCTGAAACTGCTATGTTTATGAAAAAATGGGTTAACCCTAGCTCGACCTGGCACCCAGACCACTTCATTAAGCTGAAGTGGTCTGGGTGCCTAGAGTGGTCCTTTAAGTGTGTGTGCATCTGCATGCACTGGCGTACATACCGCGGTCGCAGGGGTCGCAGCCCTGTAACCCCTGCGACCAGGTGCCCACTGCCATGTGTTGCGGCCCGGCCTGCGCGGGGGGGGGGCCACGGATCAATTTTCGCACCGGGGCCCCATGGGTCATGTGTACGCCACTGGACACACACACACACTCACTAACAGACACGCACACACTAACAGACACACACACACTAACAGACAAACACACTCACACTAACGGACACACACACACACACACACACACACTCATTAACAGACACACACTCACTCACAGACACACACACACACACTAACAGACACACACTCACTAACAGACAGACACACACTAACAGACACACACTCACTCACTAACAGACACGCACACACTAACAGACACACACACACTAACAGACAAACACACTCACAATAACGGACACACACACACACACACACTCATTAACAGTCACACACTCACTCACAGACACACACACACACACTAACAGACACACACTCACTAACAGACAGACACACACTAACAGACACACACTCACTCACTAACAGACACACACAGACACACACTAACAGACACACACACACACTCACTCACATAAACACACTCACTTTAAAAAAAAAAATTTAACCCCCCCAGCCTCCTTACCTTTGGGAATGCCGGGGCGGGGGTTCTCCCTCTCCCTGGGGTCTAGTGGGGCTGCTGGGCAGTCAGTCGGGCTGCGCTGGCGAGGGAGCACTTTTCCCTGAGTGCCCTGCTCAGCTCCCTCACACGCCGCAGAGTGATGCCGGGAGCCGGAATATGATGTCAGCTCAGGGGAAAGTGCTCCCTCGCCAGACTAACTTACGGATTGTTAGTTAGCCGCCGGGCTAACAAGGCATTTGCCCTGGGCATTTGGAGGTGGCTTTTTTTGCCGCCCCCTGGAAAGTGCCGTCCAAGGCAAATGCCTTGTTTGCCTCACGGCTAATACGTCCCTGGTTGTTGTCTTGGGGCCCCAGATTGGTTTGCTTGCCTTGTCGCGAAGGGCCTGTCCTCAATGATTCCTAAACTCTTAAATAACAATGTTAAAAGATATTAATTGACTTTTAGTTTTTGTACCTGTGGATGTTTTGATCTCTGGTGGCAGAAGCCGTTTATAGGTATTGAATATTCCTGCATCTGAAATTACGACTGGGGCATAAATACGCACATCCCTGTCAGCTCTCTGCACAACCACTCCTTGAGGAGGAGAGAAAATACAGTTTTAGGATATTATTTCTGTTAGCAAATCTCTACATTCACCTGTTTCTATTAATTTATCTGTTTATCTGTTATCTGATCACATTTTATTTTATTTAGCTCTGCATTATGTGTCCTTTCTAGCTCACTCCCTGATTACTTATTTTGCACATTCAAATTTCCTCTGTATTTTCTTTTCTTTGTTCTTTAACCCCTTAAGGACACAACTTGAGAAATAAAAGGGAATCATGATGGAATATTTCCGTCATGTGTCCTTAAGGGGTAAATAGACGTAACACAACTATACCTTTCTTCTTTTTTCAATTTATCTAAACACCGTCACATAAAGTTAGGCCTCTACTCACCTGTGGCTCTGCCATTCTCCACCAGGATCCGAGACACTGGGGCACGAACCAGCACCCGTCCCCCAGATCTCTCAATGACTGGGATCATGTTAAAGGCAATTTCGCTACTACCCCCATGGGGATACCAGGCCCCTCTTTTGTAGTGGTGTATTAGAAGAGAATTGATCATAAAGCTAGAATCACTTGGAGGGACACCTATTATAGAGAGAAGAGGAGGTTTAAGGACGCATACTATTACCAACTTTTTCCTAATTTTACAGCTGTTTTTGCTCCTTTTATCCCATTCTTTAATTAGTTCAGTTTACTTTCCACTATAGATCGATCTACCCTCCCATTACGGAATCTTCCTGGTTACTATATCATTTGAATTATTTTCAAGACAATTCTAACTTGATTATTTTGCTCTTTAATATAATATACAATTTATTATACAATGCTACGTCTTCAGTAGGTTGATCCTTTTTCGAACTCTTTGTTTACCTCAATGTCACCCAACATCCATCCAAGACTATTTGTCATACAATAGCGAAATAAAGGCCAGCATTTCAAATTAACACAATCTGTTAGTAAAACCTTTCAAGTGATTAAACTACAAACAATTCCCGAAGACTTTAATCTGTAGGTAAATCCTTTGAAATGTTTTTCTAACAGATTGTAGTAATTTCCGATGGTGATTCAAACAAATTAAACCGAGGCCAGATTGTGATCATTTGGAAAGTTGACCCAAAATAATTAAATTAGGGTTCTACTCATAAAATGGAGCATTTCTCCACATATTTCTTTCATATCTCCTGATTGTTAAAAAAGGCAAAAAATAAATAAATAATTTTACATATTTTGTGACATAATGTTTATTTCTCCACCAACCCTCTCTCTTTTTTTTTTTTTTTTTACTGTACTTTGGATGGAAGATAACAAGGTATTAGTTTGATATCTAATTGGATTATCTTATGTGTAATCTAAAGAATCGTAAACCAATTATGGAACGTTAATGAATGGCTAGCAAAGGGAAATCCACATGCACAGCTCACAGTATAGTAGGGAAAAAAGGACCGTGACACTGAATCTGGAGGATAATGAGAAATAAATTTGAAAAATGTGAAAAAAAATATAAGGATATTTGATGATCCTGATGAAAGTCCGCAAGGAGGACTGAAACGTTGATCTTATCATAAACATCTGAATAAAAGTTACGTTTTACGAAAATCCGTGAGTGCAGCCAACTACTTCAAATATTTGGATACAGGAGCCCTGGTAGTGCACCCGGTCATACAACTTTAAAGCCAGAGTGCAAGGTACAACTATATATTTTTTTAGATATATATATTTATATATATACATCCAAAAATACCTTGCACTGCAGGCTGTAAATTCAAGGTATACTCAATGCCGGGTGCCAGATCCAGGTCATCCTTATACAAAAGTAGCCCAAGAGATGGTCCGCACTAACGGTCTTCGTATTAAAACTTAACTTTTATTGTTCATATAAAAGAACACGTTATGATGCCTTCAATTATCGACGTTTCAGTCCCAGGGGACTTTCCTCAGGATATATGGTATGTATACTTCCTCACTTAATTTGTATCACCTCGATTTACTAGGCAATGTAAATAGCGGCACCAAAATCTTGTATCTAATTGATAAGTATATATTAAATTACGCTACATAATGTATACCCATAAGAGCAATACCACCCAAAAATAGTTCTCATAGCTCTTATTGTGCAATTTCCCCTCTTTCTGCCATTTTCATAAATAGAATAGGAGGAAACCCTCTGTTCTTCTCTGTGTTTGAGATTCCGTTTATCTTTTATGAAGCATTATCTCACCATAAAACAAATAGCTAAACACCGTCTGCAGGTCTTTGTTGCTGGTCAGGTTGCCCACAATATCCTGGTGGCTGGACTCTGCCATCCTAAATATCGGGGAAATCCAGTGCAGAAAACGTGATCGCAAAAGCAGCAAAGTCAAAGAATAAGGAAGTATCTTTAGGGCACCTAGCAGTGCAACGTGACGGGCCACTTTCTGTGGGAGCATAGAGAATACTTCAAAATTTGTTCATTATCATGTCCCCTACAGAACAATTTAAAAATTGGGGTTTTAATTGCTTAGATACAGAGCCTTCTTTTCGACAAACAGCAAAGTATGGCTGGGATTAAATATTTTCTAAAATTAGAGTTTTAAAAAAAATATTAAATATATATATATAAAATAATAAAACAAAATATATATATATATAAACAATATATATAAAATAAATATCAAATTATTAATATTAAAATATTTTTGAAATATTACATAATTTAAAATGTTGATCCAAAAATATTAAAATAAGGCCTAAATATTTTATGTTTATACTTTGAATAACTTAATTTACTGTGCTGGTTAATGTTTTTTGTATTAGCATATGCCATGGTCGAAATATTTTTATATATTATGGGAGTTTTTTTTCCTTTCCGAAGACATACTCACAATGCTTTTTATCTCCCAGCTGAAATTAGCCATGAAAGTAACCATACCAGAGGTATTCAGTTAATTAATTAAGAAAGATATGTTAAATAACCATTACAGTTACAGCTCAATGAAAAATAGTTTAAACAATAGTTTAAAAGGACAAAGAAACTTGGGTGCCTCAGGGTGCTATTTAGACTCTAGGAGAGTCCTATATTTTCTTTAAAAATAGAATCCACATATATTTAGCAGAAAATATATTTGAATATTGAATCAGTTTAATCTGATTCCTTTGACACAAGACTATAACTCGCACCATACCTTGCCACCACAAAACTGGCTATGCATCAGAGACATTGCTGGTGGTAGTCGGAGGTGGCTGACAGGGGTTGGGGCCCTATGTGGGGTTCTGAAAAGTTCTATGTCTAATTTTAGCCCCATTTTATTGTTAGTTTAAAGTCCTTTTTAATTCCGATAGAGACATAAATCTTTAATTACCTCATTGGTGATAGTGCCACCTCAACGCACCATAGTCCAGCTGGATGAACTACATCTGGATTTTGTGAACTGATGTCTCTTAGCCAATGAATTACTCTCTGTGCATAGAATATGCACAGAAGTGACATTAGCCAATCTGGAACTTGTTTGACTCTGTATGTGCAGCATTTTATAGCGACATGCTGCACACGACATGGCCCTGTTGGATCATAATTATTTTCTGTTCATGGTGCTTAGAATAACCTTTGAAGGTCTGACTTACAGCATGGAATAGTGCTGGTTTTAGGAGGGGCTTTAGTTCACACATGTGTGCAAGATTGATAACATTTAGCCTTTGACTTAAGCCCCTAGCAACATCCCTTCAGTGCAAAATAGAACTTGTCTTCAACCTCATTCAGGATGCCAGATATGTTCTGGCCCATTATTTTGCCCAGCCTTGCCGTAAACATGTCCATACCTTCATCATATACATAAATTTATCGATAGCAGCTTCTTCTCCTGGAAACTGTCTTTTCAGGGCATTAGGAAATTCATTTTTGCCTGAGTAAATTCTGTAAACACGGCATCCAAGAATTATGGAGTCATACTGATCGACCAACCGGTTCCACTGAAGTTGACCTTCTGTCAGTTGGTCCATGATTACTCGCAGCATGCCTCCTTCATGCATTTGCCCCACATAGTGTATACCTGAGAAATTGATATAGGAAGAATATGCAAATGTAAGAACTGATCTAGTCCCAAATATCTTTTCCTCCAATAAATCTGCTTGATCTGATTGACTCTGAGTGCCTGAACCATTCTTTTCTTAACCTATTGTATGACTGAAGATTTGCCCACCTCAGGTCTAGCTAAGCATCTAGGTTTGGAAGACAGTGCAGTTTTCCTACCCCATTTCAACCAAATAGTTTTGTCACATAACTTTACTTCTGAGCTTGTCCTGTTAACCTGCAGTCAGGAGGTTACTGTACATTATATATAGAAACCCAGAGCGGTCTGAGCCTGTCCTGGTAATCTGCAGTCAGGAGGTCACTGTACATTATATATAAGTTTCTCAGTTTCTGAGTTTTTATTTGATACTCAGAATTATCATGCAAAACTCGTATTATCCCATGGGAGGCATATAATCTCTTCGTAAAGGCACAGGGATACATTTATTTGAGGATCCATACCCACATCAAACTCGTATCCACGTTCTTGAAAAGTGTGGCAGCTTCCTCCTGCTTGATCATGCTGTTCTAGAACCAGAACCCTTTTCCCAGCTTTGGCTAACACTGAAGCTACCGACAGTCCTCCCACCCCACTGCCAATAACCAAAGCATCCAGGTTAGGAGGAATTTTCTTCTCAGAGAACCCTATGGAGGAATAGAAAATAAATTTACTTAAGAATAGCAGTGGATGACAAGGTGAGTAATTGAATACAGGCATATCACATATATTTAGAGAAACACCTTTTTTGTCTCAATATAGCAACATCAAACTAAATATGGCTGAGCATCTAAATCATGGTCATGGAACTACAACTTGTGAGCCTCAGGTAATGGAGAAAAACAGAAAGGACAGATCATATTTTTATCCAAGGACAGTAGGCCTTCATAAAGGTGGATTTAAAATAAAGTTTACTAATTTTTGTGATGTACTTTAAGTGTTGACCGTTGAAACTCATCATGTATTTGGCCTTTTTTTATATGAAAATCAGTCAACAGAATAAAGCAGTAAAAGAGACCTAAATATGCTGGAGACTGGAGAATACATGGTGTAAACGAAGGTGCCGAACGGACACGAAAATAGAGATGAAACTGAAATGCAAAGTGAATCAGGATGTAATGATATATACAGTGATGGTTTATGTAATAATTTGCTCATTTCTTTGGTAATCAGAGCTACAATGCTGGAAAACTGAAACCGATCAGCCTTCAGTAACCATATTCAAACCCCAGAGGTTCGTCGTAAATTGTTAGTGTTACCACTAGACAAGGCAAAATCAATGAAGTATACAAAAATGGAAAGACAATTCACTCAAAGAACTCAGCAAATATACCAGTAATAGAACCCGTGTTTTGTAAAAATCCTTTAACGTAAGTAAATTTTCCATTTATATAATAAAGCCTTGAAATGAATGAATGAATGAACGAACGAAAAAACGAATGCATTAATAACAGCAGAAAAGATTTTAGACTTATTTCAACATCGGGTACAAAAAAAAAAACCAAATGGGTGTCTATAGCTTAGTTAAATAGGGGTCAAGTGGCTCCCCCCACCCCCTTTAATTTGCCTTGTCTTTTATTTAGTTTGATGGCTTTTCCCCTCATGGAAGACTTTCTGCATTTATTCCTGTAAAAACATACACATACCTTGTTTGAGTACTTTGTCTCGGCTCCTCTTATCAGTAACCAGTGGCTTGGGAGGATACACACAGTCCTCTCGAAATGGGCTTCCTCTTCCAGACCATAAGTATAAATACAAATATACCCCCAGGAGAGACAAAAGAAAGAGTGGCACCAGTGCCCAGGATGCCAAAGGAAGCATTGCTTAATAAACACAAAACAAAGATTCCCACAAACACAGGGACACAAGGACACTGGATAAACACACAAAACTCACATGCACCCCTACTTCACATACAATAAATTATAAAATAGAAAACAGAAACAGAACAATCTCTCTCTAAAATAAAAATCCAAAGCTAACTATGTAAAATAACAGAGCATGCAACAGGCAAGCCGCACACAAACACAGAATCAGATTAATAACAAGCAGGAATGTTTCTGGATTAGAAGGAACAAAGGTTTCTCTGCTTCTAAGCAATCGCAGAGATATAAAGCTTTCACAATACTCTACCAAACTGCTATTGGTTTATCTACTGTGCAACCATGTCACAATGTCACAGAATATGTATTGTACACAAATATTCATATAACTCCATATAACCTCTCTCCATAACTCCTCCTATTACTCCATATACCCTCTCCCTATAACTCCTCCTATTACTCCATATAACCTCTCTCTATAACTCCTCCTATTACTCCATATACCCTCTCCCTATAACTCCTCCTATTACTCCATATAATCTCTCTCTATAACTACTCCTATTACTCCATATAACCTCTCCCTATAACTCCTCCTATTACTCCATATAACATCTCCCTATAACTCCTCCTATTACTCCATATAACCTCTCTCTATAACTCCTATTACTCCATATAACCTCTCCCTATAACTCCTCCTATTACTCCATATAACCTCTCTCTATAACTCCTCCTATTACTCCATATAACCTCTCCCTATAACTCCTCCTATTACTCCATATAACCTCTCCCTATAACTCCTCCTATTACGCCATATAACCTCTCCCTATAACTCCTTCTATTACTCCATATAACCTCTCCCTATAACTCCTCCTATTACTCCATATAACATCTCCCTATAACTCCCCCTATTACTCCATATAACCTCTCTCTATAACTCCTCCTATTACTCCATATAACCTCTCTCTATAACTCCTATTACTCCATATAACCTCTCTCTATAACTCCTCCTATTACTCCATATAACCTCTCTCTATAACTCCTCCTATTACTCCATATAACCTCTCCCTATAACTCCTCCTATTACTCCATATAACATGTCCCTATAACTCCTCCTATTACTCCATATAACCTCTCTCTATAACTCCTATTACTCCATATACCCTCTCCCTATAACTCCTCCTATTACTCCATATTACCTCTTTCTATAACTCCTCCTTTTACTCCATATAACCTCTCTCTATAACCCCTCCTATTACTCCATATAACCTCTCCCTATAACTCCTCCTTTTACTCCATATAACCTCTCACTATAAGTCCTCCTATCACTCCATATAACCTCTCACTATAACTCTTCCTATTACTCCATATAATCTCTCCCTATAACTCCTCCTATTACTCCATATAACCTCTCCCTATAACTCCTCCTATTACCCCCTATAATCTCTCGATATAACTCCTCCTATTACTCCATATAACCTCTCCCTATAACTCCTCCTATTACCCCCTATAATCTCTCCCTATAACTCCTCCTATTACTCCATATAACCTCTCCCTATAACTCCCCCTATTACTCCATATAATCTCTCTCTATAACTCCTCCTATTATTCCATATAAATTATACATTTGACATATTCCCGATACCTTGATACAATTTTTCTCCAAAACACGCTTTAATAAAGGTTTTAATTCATTAAAAGTTGAAATGTTATGATGTGAAAACCAAATTTCAAAATGTAGCTGGAATTTAAATTAAAAAAGAACTGTTGACGTATAGAAATTTTCCTTTGCAGCTGTTTTTACCTAAAGTTTGGTTTTTACTACAGCACAATTAATTATTTAAGGAACAAAGTCTACTTTAATGTGTGAAACTAGTGCATACTCTAAGAATCATGTGAATTGAACATACAGATTTAGAGCTTATACACAAATTCCTGAGGTAATTCCTTCCTGAGAAACTGAAATTTGTATTGTATTCCCAGTACATTCCTTCCTAAGTGAACCATTAACATTTTAGCAAGATCTTCATCAGACAGATGTTAATGAAACTCTAATTTGAATTGATATACTAGTGATCCCCTGGCTATCAAGGCAAATCATAACAGAGGAATATTTTTATTGAATCAGACCAAATTAGAAGTAAAACTAATTTTAAGAAGGTTGATGTTAAAGGACCACTATAGTGTCAGGAAAACATACTCGTTTTCCTGGCACTATAGTGCCCTGAGGGTGCCCCCACCCTCAGGGTCCCCCTCCCGCCCAGCTCTGGAAAGGGGAAAAGGGGTAAAACTTACCTTTTTCCAGCGCTGGGCGGGGAGCTCTCCTCCTCTGATCCTCCTCCTCTCCTCCCCGTCGGCTGAATGCGCACGTGCGGCAAGAGCTGCGCGCGCATTCAGCCGGTCGCATAGGAAAGCATTTACAATACTTTCCTATGGACGCTTGCGTGCTCTCACTGTGATTTTCACAGTGAGAATCACGCAAGCGCCTCTAGCGGCTGTCAATGAGACAGCCACTAGAGGCTTTGGGGGAAGGATTAACCCATTTATAAACATAGCAGTTTCTCTGAAACTGCTATGTTTATAAAAAAAATGGGTTAACCCTAGCTGGACCTGGCACCCAGAACACTTCATTAAGCTGAAGTTGTCTGGGTGCCTAGAGTGGTCCTTTAATAGTTTTATAGATTTACATAGCTGTCATTTTAAACCTTGGCTTAATAATGTACCAAAAGGTCAGCTCCTCAGATTAAGGAGGAACTGTACGGATTTTAAAGATTATCAAAATCAATCTTGTAATTTAACACAACAATTTATAGATAAGGGATATAATCCAATTTTTATTGAAAATGCCAGAGATGAAATAGGTAGTAAAGAAATGACTTTATTCCTTTTGATTCTGAATTTTAGTACTAATAATAGATCAGTATGTAACGTTTTTTAAAAAAAATTGGCATGTGTTAAAGGAAGATAAAGACCTTTTACCCTATTTAGCGGATAGACCCCAATTCATTTTTAGAGGAGCTAGAAATTTTAGACAGATTTTAACAAAAAGTTTTCTGGATAAAGAAAAGCAGGATAAAAGCAATTTTTTAGATGGACAAGTAGGTTTTTATTATTGTGGAGACTGCACTGTATGTAGATTAAAAAGAAATACAAACAAAAGTATAAAAACCTTTTCCTCTAGTAGAAATTCAGAAGAAGAATATAAAATACATTCACTTATTACGTGCAATACAACCAATGTTATATATCTTTTAACCTGTCCATGTGGTTACCAATATATTGGTAAAACGATTAGAAAGTTAAAAGTTAGAGTGGGTGAACACATTAACAATATAAAGAAAAAAATTGTTAATCATAGTGTTTCGAAACGTTTCTTAGAATACCATAAGGGTAACCCAGAAAGTCTTAAATTTATTGGCATAGAGAAGATTAAATTGGAGAGGGGGTTGTAAGGAAAATATTTTAAGTAGAGCAGAAATGAGGTGGATGTTCAACTTAAACACTTTAACCCCTGTAGGATTGAACGTAGATTTTGAAATTGCTTCTTTTTTATGAAAAATTATTTTTAAATTTTTCCCATGATATATGCATATTAATATATGTTATATATTTTATAGGTCATATTTTATGATATTTATAATAAATTGTTATCTGTATATAATATATATTTTATATGATATTTATAATATATTTTAATGATTTTTTCTCTCTTTCCCCTTTTCTCTTATTATACTTTATTTCCCCTGAGCATAACATTCAAGTTTACAAGATTTTAATATACAGAAGAATATGTTATCCATAGAATGGATGTTTTTCATGTTTATTTTAATTATATTTAATGGACATGTGGACTTTTTTAGAACGGACATGTGTATTAAAGAATATTGAGGGAGGATGTTTTCCCCGGAACCCGGAAGCTCATAGGACTACAAAACAACATGACCGCTGACCCGGAAGTGTTTTTTGGATGTATGACACAAACCAGAAACCAGAAGTCAGCTGATCGGGGATAACGACCGGAAACCGGAAGTGAGCCGGCAAGAAAGCCAAGCGCGCCTTTTTTAAAGATATTTAAATGAACAATTTGTGAAGAGATATAGCACTTTGATAAAGACCATTATTGGTCGAAACGCGTTAGTGCAATTTATGTGGAGATTCCATTATTAGCTTTTTTATGCTATATATGCAAAATAAAGGTTTATTTGTTCCTGTATTTCTCTACCTGGTATTCATCAAGGAAAAACTTCTGAAGGAACCATTTTAACCTGTTTGTCAGCACTTTGGTCTCCAGAATATTTTGAAAGGCGCTTGTAGTCTGAGCCACTCTTTCAGGCTCAGCACCACGTGAGTGGGCTATTTTATATTTGATTCAATTTGTTCTTTATATACAGGCTATACTATGTTATGCACTTTATATTTTTAGGACATTTATGTGAAAATTCAAGATAAAGGGTAACATTGCATGCTTTTATCTTGTATGCTTTTACACTTGCTCTCACCACATTTCATATTTTATAGCAGATAGCATGCTGGGTATAGCAGATAGCATGCTGGAGCCATAAGGTGAGTATTTATACCAGCCATTATATGAAGTGGCCATTTTAACTGAACCTAAGCTTACCAGTCAGTTGTCCCTCCCATCCTCCCTGTATTTGGTTAGGTTAGTTGATTTCCCATTTTTTCAAGGCGGCGTGGAATGGCCTGGTTAAATTGGAGGGTAGATGGAGGAGAAAGTGGGCATCCTGAGGTTTAGTGTGGATTGGGCAGTGTTGCACGTGGTTGGTAGTTTCGAGCCTGTCGGTGGCACCGAACCTGGGGGTGTGGTGGTGTCTTGGTACACCCTACACTAGAACTGGTGGGTAGCGGTGTCTTGGTACACCCCTACAATGGATATGGTGGGTAGCGGTGTCTTGGTACACCCCTACAATCGATATGGTGGGTAGCGGTGTCTCGGTACACCCCTACAATATAACCTGGTGGAAATGTGGTCATATTGGGCGGCCAGTTTCTGTATTAACATGTTATTTAGATTGTTATCTATTGTTATTATTGTGGGGTCATTGCCATATTCAGGGTTGTTCCACCAAATATTGATTTCTGAAGTATTGTGTTGTTTAAAAATGATTACGAACTTGTTTTTTTCCCCCATGATTCAAGGTCTGAATACATTGCATCTTGTTTGATATTTTGACCAGTTGTCATTGTTTGCCAATAAATGGTTAAAAACTACAAAATTTGTATTTGAAATCTGGGAGAAATGTTGTCAGTAGTTTATAGAATAAAACAAAAATGCTCATTTTACTCAAACACATAGCTATTAGTCCCCCAAAAAATAGAGAAACAATCTCTTACTTTTCCCCCCTGAGCTGTAGATATATGTTTATGAGTGAGTAGGTGTATGTGCTGTAGCAAAACTGTGCGGAAGCCGTAGGAGCATTCAGAGCTGGTTTACACGGTAGGTGGCCCCTGTTTAAGACCTGGAGCCCTGCTTGGATCTCCCCTGTCTGAGCCTGAGCCTCGAGCCCCCCATACAAGCCAGCTGACAGATCAAAAGATCTCCTTTCACTGCTCCTCATAAATGCATCCTCACACTGATACACACCCTGTCACACTCACCCACCACACCCTGCCACACTCACCCCTTCACCTTGCCACAGTCACCCCTTCACCTTGCCACAGTCACCCCAAAACCACAGGTTTGCAGACAGTTATTAAACAACCTTGAAATTACATTAATTCCTGATATTTTTATAACTTAAGATACTAGACCTTTAGCTGGTAAAATAATGTGTCGTAATATTGTATGCTGCAGGGACACTATACCCCCCTAAGTACTTTAACTTGCTGAAGTGCGTTATGTGTGAGGAGTGTCTTCTCTCTTTCTCATTTTACAAAGAGTAAAGATTTCAATTGAAATTGACACTTTTGTAAATTAAACTTGTTACACCCCCTCTCTGTCACACAGCTACATCAGAAAGTTGCATTGTGAAGTCTGTGATTACTTCCTGGTTGTTTAGCTCAGTTAAACTCTGACGCAGCCAATTATCAGAGCACCTGCTTTGCAAAGATTTCTCATTAAGCTGCATTGGGAAGTCTGTGATTGGACAGCCACAGAAAGTTTGGGCGGGATTAGTAGGGGAGGGCTTGCCAAGGCTGGAGACAAGCTGTTTTTAGATGTACCCTTAATGAAAAATACATAAACACGTGCATGTTTTCATTGAGAGTACATCTACTATTTGTTTATGAACTAAATATGTTTACTGGAAATTTTAATAATTATGCAATAAGTATATATTTTGAATATATTGTATGTGTCATAAGTACCTGTTTGTTCTTGACATGCTTGAAACTTTTGTGATTTAGATATAGCAGTTTAAAGATTTTTTTCACACAATGAACAATTTTTATAATATATATTTCTCTTTATTGAAGTGCAAAATTTACAGCACAATACATTCTACATACACAAGGAGAACACACTAATTACATGGTGAGAATATATGTATATACATTTCTCCTATATATTTGGCAGTGTTATGCTGTGGAATTCCCATGGTTACAGAATTATTTAACACACACATTTAACCTTCAGAATTGGATTCTCTAATAAGATCCAAAAAAATGTTCTGGAAGACACTATACAGCAAACATTGTGAAGGGGTCCAAACGGTTTCACTTTACCAAAGCTATTATGGACCCTTTCTTGACTGATGACCAGATTTGCAGCGATGCCTGTCATATTGAAAGGAATTTGTTAAACCACTTGCCATGGTTTTATTAATGTAGGTTAAACTGATACATATCTACCAGTCAGGTTCATCATGTTTTTTTGTGGACAAACATTTGATTAAGAGTCTGTCGGAAAAAACTTTAATTGTGCAAAAGCTATACAAAAGTTGATTGTGCTGTATTTGAACATGATCAGTCCTCATGGCCCACCAATAATCCAGGATTTATGTATTTCCCTAATGGAGATACTGTCAACACCTAGATGGCTAATGGGTCTTGATTGAGGACTTGTTTGGGAAACACTCGTCTAGAAAGCTAGGAGGGGAAAGTTTGGGCAAAATGGTGAATGGCATCAAATGAGCTAAATGCCACTTTCTCCACCCAGACAAGCTATGCCTCAGAGATCCAACATTGGTCTCCGTACGGAACCTGGTGGTAAATCTAAGCGGCTAAATTATGCACAACGATACCTCAATTTGAAAAATACAATAATAATAATAAACAGATTTTTTTTTAAGAAAATGTGCCTTTAACTAATCTTAAAAAATTTAAAAAGTTATACTAATAAAGGTGGCGAGTATAGATATTAGTAAACAAAATAGTAGAAACAGATCCTTTGAAATGTTTGAAAGTCCAATATTTACTGTTATGCAACACCTTTCAACTTAATCTTTAAACCACGAGTGAATAACAAACTGCAGTACAGCCCTGCCTGGATTGCCTATCTGGCCATGAAAGAGTCCACAATCAGCTTTTTCTACAAAGTAACTAGTAAACAGATAGGCCCTCACACAGCGCCAAGAAAACTGGAGAGACCAATATGTAAAATTAGGGGTAGAGAACACTGCCATTCATAAAAATAGTGAATTATTGAACTTACGTAACATATTAAACATAATAAGTACTTCTGTGTTAATACAAAAGTAAAAACTTTAATATAAGCATAGCAATACATTACGATTCCTTTAAATATTATGATGTTTAAAAAATGGCAGCACAAAAAGTTGTCAGGCTGATATTATAGAGTACATGAAGAGCCTTATGTTATTGTAGTAGTGATGAAATGCTTTGGCCACTATATCAATTACCTATAACATCGACTGAGTCTCTTGAGGAAAGACTAAAATCAAACGTTATACATCAACATCAACATGCCGACATTCTCATTTGAGACCCATGCTGGTGAGATAGCTCAGTAGGTCAATGCACTACCTGTAATAGTTAATAAAACATCAGATTTGTGGGTTTCCAGATAGGCTAGAAAACACATTTTATGTACAAATACAGACTGTACATTTTTTTAAACCTAGTAGCTAGTGAGTGTTTTTATTTTCCTTGGCATCATATTCACTTGAGGTTTGGGATATGATATCCTTCAAGTTTACTCTAAAGCCAAGTGGCTTTACCTCTCCTTGTTACCTCTTGTAGTGCCTTATCTAGACTAAGGACCAATGGTTGACCTTCTAACTCCACTAAAACTGTGAGCAGATAGTGAGTAGCTAAATAGCAGGTAGAGGCATTAACAAGGTTTATGATTGGAAGGTTAAAAAATGAGGGCCTACTGAAGAAAGAGGTAATTATATGGTACTTTGCCTCCTGATTTCCCATCCCCCTGCATTGTGATTGGCTGACTAATTTTATATTGAAAAACTTGGTTGGGGATAAGAACAGTTGTTCTAAAATTTGAAGACCAGAAGCTTTGGAGCCCTCAGCTTCATAGTTACTGGTAAGAGGTAGCTAGGGTCCTACAGCAAGTAGGAGACTGTGTGTTTTTATTGGAGACTGTGTGTTTCTTTATTACTGGTGCCAGATTATGCAGTATTGTAGTTAATGGATTTGAGGACCCCATGGTACTAGTGTCTATAAATCGTGGGGATTGGAATGCAGGAAGAGTAGAATTTGCAAACCATGATTCATCCTCAATAACATGTTTCCAGTTCTATGGTGGTTTTGTGTTTATAGATTTCGTTAATGCACCTGCATGTTGAATAAGTCCTGCACAAAGTGACAAAATAAAAATCGGTTACCACACATAAACTCAGTCCTTGGGTAAAATCTGCAGTCTGGGATTTAGGCCCAAGGATGATACTGGGGAAGACTTGCAAGACTAGCAAAGGACAATTTCTCACCGGGACTCAAGAATAGAGAGCTGGTTCTATCTCATATGGGGCAATTTGTTTGTAGTTGCACCATTGGCCAATATCTATCCAGCTTTCTCCTAGATGATACTGACAACATCTGGATCACGTGACTTGAGAACTACGTTGGGAACCTCTTTTATAGTGGAATAATATGTACACAATATCAGCTATGCCTGCCTCGAGAGCAATTTGGCAATGGATCATGACAATAAAGTGCTTTCCATTACTATAGTTATTAACAAGAGGAACACAACCTGAAAACTTCCTATAAGATGAATAAATTATATATATATTTTATATATATTATGGCAGCTTTTGAGCTTTTTAAGTTTTTAACAGTCAATAAAATACTTAACAAGGTCCAGTATGCACAGAATAGGAAAATGATTTTTAGGTCTCACTGCTATTAATGTTTTTGTGTGTAGAAGCCAAAATTCAACGTGTAAGTGCTCATTTTATTGTATGTGTGAAGGTGTGCTAATGTCGTTAAATGCTGGGAGTGGGAAAACATTTTAAGAATGACCTCTCCCTGTGCTGTGCTATTTTGGTGCTCAAGAGAAACTGAAGGGTAAAATTACATATTCATAAAAACATACGAGGGGAACAAATGAGACAGATCATAAAACAATCAAAAAAATAATAAGTAAAAAAAAAAAGCAATCAAAGGTTTCAAGAAGGGTGTAATCTGAAAGGCATATAGGGATGAGAATAATCACAAAGGGCATGAAAAGAAATGCAACCATTTATATGAGCATGGCCCAGCTGCTAAATGCAGAGGCCATAATTAATATGCATACTATGGCTCTGGAGAGGTTTGAAGGTTGGAATGACTTGGGTACACTAATAGACCCAGCTAACTGGAACCCACTGAGGCTCAGAACGCAACTTCTCCAAGGCAACCAGAAGCTCTTGGAAACTCTGGTCCAGATCCGAGTTGACCAAACTGAGGTCAAAGTAATGGCCATAAGCCTGCTGTAGACGCTCACTCTCCTCGACAATCCTTAGGAGTTCGGAATCCTGTAGGGGCAGAATGAAGAAATGGAAAACGGAAAGTGAGATTGGTTAGAGGGAGGGTGGGAGTAAGTGGATAATAGTGGAGGAAATAAGATTATAAAAACAAAATAGAAAACTTTCGGGATTAAAGACAAATGGTAGAGTTCATGAGAGCTGTCAGAAAAACTATTGATAAAAAAGATAACAAAGTGGATATGAGTTACAATGGTGGGGGTGAATGAATAGCTGGTGAACAACAGGCAGAGAGAGAGAAAAAGAGAGATGGGAAGGATGAAAAGAAGAATAGAGACTCGACAGAACAGAGATGTCAGAGCAGTGGTTCTTAATCTCCGGCACATGGCCAAATATGTCTCTCCATGCTGTTTCAGTGGGTTTTTAATTGTCAGAGAAGTCACATTAAAAGTATCAGGCTGCTGGCAATGGCCAACAGTGAGTCATTTTCTTTAGTGACACCGTCTTCCCAAGTGAAACTGAGAACCTACCGATCCTGGGAAGAGTTTAATTAAGGTATTTTGCAAATTCTGTTTAATGACTCGGGTACACTAATAGACCCAGCTGACTGGAACTCACTGAGGCTCAAAACGCAGCTTCTCCAAGGCAACCAGAGCTCTTAGAAACTCTGATCCAGATCCGAGTTGACTAAACTGAGGTCAAAGTAATGGCCATAAGCCTGTTGTAGACGCTCACTCTCCTCGGCAATCCTTAGGAGTTCGGATCAGCCCATTAATGGCATTGACATAGTTTGGGTCCCATACAAGGTTAAGAACCAATAAGTTCTAGGTTGGCAAATGAGAAAAAAGGAGGGGCGTATAGATGAGGGCAATAAAATAAACAGAATGAAAAGAAACTCAGCTGAAAGAACTAAAGATTGGTTATCAAAGTAACATGGACACACGTTTCTATACTCACTGAGAGCTGTTTGCTGGTCATACCAGCCTCCACAGCTGACTGATTGTTGGATTTCAGAGTATCAAAGTCAGGGGCTCCAATAAATACAACGTAAGGTACAAACTCTGCTGTCCTGAGGACCTTCACTGCCTGTGGGAAAATAAAAATAAACATATACGGTGGTTGGAGAGCAAAAGAAGATGTGGCGGTTAAGATACAAACATTCTTACAAATCTGTGTTTATCAGACACACAACTTTATCATCATTTAAGAAGTCTTGTGAACCCTTGGACCACACACATAGCTCAATTCATTGTCTTAACATGCCTCCTTCTCACCACTCTCTCTCATTCCAACCCATGTCACTCTCCATCCATATCAAACACTGCTCCCCTGCGAGCTCCTTTCATTCCTCATGGACAATCTATACAACCCTGCTGTCACTAAAAGTATTTATTAATAAAATATTTTATCAGAAAGGACATGCTCAGATTTCTCTCATTTTCAATCAAGTCGTAAAAAAGCGTATTTTGATCTACATACATTAAAGTATAGTTTATTTTATCAGCATTATACAGTTGTGTGCCCATAAAAGGAACTCTGACATTTTTTACCTTTCCATTTTAGTATCATTTTACCTTTGTCGTTGATGTGTTTGTGTAATAAAAGGCAGGGGTGTTACTTACCACCTTCAAATCAATAAAACTGTCGGCACAATAGTATTAATTAAATTAACGTAATTTACATGCATACCCGCCGACACTGACATGTGTGAATCTTATAAAAGATGGTGAGACAGTATGGGGCAGTGCCAGTCATGCTCGTGACTGCAACATTAAGTATCCCAGCAAGCATGCATGCCAAGATGGAAGACAAAACTAAATGGCATCCAACAAGGGTAGCAAATGTGCAGACATCTTTTTTTAACATTATTTAATAGAGACACGTCAAATTTTGCTGCACACGTCTCTCAACGATTGCTCGGTGCCGACAAAGTTGTTTCTGTAAATGAATCAGGCACGCCGGCACATTTTCGTGAATTAAAAGGGCAAAATCAAAGGCAAATGAGAATTATTAGCATGAAATGCCATGGATATGCCATTTTGGAAGGCAGATATTATGAACTTGGCATGAAATTATTTAAATTGAAATACAGTTGCAAGAAAAAGTATGTGAACCCTTTGGAATGATAAGGATTTCTGCACAAATTGGTCATAAAATGTAATCTGATCATCATCTAAGTCACAACAATAGACAATCACAGTCTGCTTAAACTAATAACACACAAAGAATTAAATGTTGCCATGTTTTTATTGAACACACCATGTAAACATTTACAGTGCAGGTGGAAAAAGTATGTGAAAGTATGTAAGACTAATGACATTTCCAAGAGCTAATTGGAGTGAGATGTCAGCCAACTGGAGTCCAGTCAATGAGATGAGATTGGAGGTGTGTGTTACAGCTGCCCTGCCCTATAAAAAACACACACCAGTTCTAGGTTTGCTTTTCACAAGAAGCATTGCCTGATGTGAATGATGCCTCGCACAAAAGAGCTCTCAGAAGACCTACGATTAAGAATTGTTGACTTGCATGAAGCTGGAAAGGGTTATAAAAGTATCTCCAAAAGCCTTGCTGTTCATCAGTCCACGGTAAGACAAATTGTCTATAAATGGAGAAAGTTCAGCACTGCTGCTACTCTCCCTAGGAGTGGCCGTCCTGTAAAGATGACTGCAAGAGCACAGCGCAGACTGCTCAATGAGGTGAAGAAGAATCCTAGAGTGTCAGCTAAAGACTTACAAAAATCACTGGCAAATGCTAACATCCCTGTTAGTGAATCTACAATACGTAAAACACTAAACAATAATGGATTTCATAGGAGGATACCACAGAGGAAGCCACTGCTGTCCAAACAAAACATTGCTGCACGTTTACAGTTTGCACAAGAGCAAACACAGCAGTACTGGCAAAATATTCTGTGGACAGAAGACCAAAGTTGAGTTGTTTGGAAGAAACACACAACACTATGTGTGGCGAAAAAAAGGCACAGCACACCAACATCAAAACCTCATCCCAACTGTGAAGTACGGTGGTGGGGGCATGATGGTTTGGGGCTGCTTTGCTGCGTCAGGGCCTGTACGGATTGCTATCATTGAAGGAAAAATTAATTCCCAAGTTTATCAAGACATTTTGCAGGAGAACTTAAGGCCATCTGTCTACCAGATGACGCTCAACAGAAGATGGGTGTTGCAACAGGACAATGACCCAAAGCATAGAAGTAACAACAACAGAATGGCTTAAACAGAAGAAAATACGGCTTCTGAAGTGGCCCAGTCAGAGTCCTGACCTTAACCCGATTGAGATGCTGTGGCATGACCTCAAGAAAGAGATTCACACCAGACATCCCAAGAATATTGCTGAACTGAAACAGTAAAGAGGAATGGTCAAGAATTACTCCTGACCGTTGTGCACGTCTGATCTGCAACTACAGGAAACATTTGGTTGAAGTTATTGCTGCCAAAGGAGGTTCAACCAGTTATTAAATCCAAGGGCTCACATACTTTTTCCACTGCACTGTGGATGTTTACATGGTGTGTTCAATAAAAACATGGCAACATTTCATTCTTTGTGTGTTATTAGTTTAAGCAGACTGTGATTGTCTATTGTTGTGACTTACATGATGATCAGATCACATTTTATGACCAATTTGTGCAGAAATCCATATCATTCCAAAGGGTTCACATACTTTTTCTTGCAACTGTATATACAGCATTGAGTTGTCTATAAAAAAAAAAAAATACATTAGTAACAGCTACATTCTTGTGATGGATTTAAAAATGTTCTTAGCTTAAATGTGATACTTCAATGAAAACATTGTCCCTGGTGAATGATTTTTATCACCTATTGTATTTTCAGATCTGGATGCCTTCAGAGAACCTTTCAGCTCCTTTATGCAGAGCATATATACTTTCCTGCTTTGGATCTGTCTAACTCTTATTGGGATTTTTTTATTCCATTTAAAAGGTAAATAAAAAAACAAACTTTTTTTATTTTACAATATTTAGGCCAAACTGTTATATGTATATTATATAGTATGCTGTATATGCATAGAACCAAGCTATTTACCCAGATTTTTTCACTCCATCACAGTATCTGATATTTTATTTACGTCTGCCTCTATTTGCCTGTATGGCTTCCCTCTACCTCAAACTACCTACATGCATCCCCCTAGCTCTCCGCGCCTGCCCTCCTGCCCCTCTGTCTACCTTTATTTTTTATCCTCTCATCCTAACCTATATCTGTCCTTTGTATTTCTGTTTATTTGTTCTTGTCCCCTTCCTCCACCTATATCTATCTTTTAAGATTTAAGAAGCACTTCATAAATAGGATCAGTGGAACAAAAATGTCTGTTTCATGGTATTTTTGAGTTTGCAATTCTCTAACCTGGGGGTTGACATCAAGCACACACATTTTCCCTGAAGCCACCACTTCCTGGATGGAGCTGATCTTAGTACCATACAGGTTGCCCTCGTACTCGCCATGCTCCAAATAGCGGCCAGCCTTGATGTCCTGCTCCATCTCTGCCCGTGACACAAAAGAGTATGACTGTCCATCCCATTCACCTTCCTTTCTTTTCCGAGAGGTATCTGAGAGGAGTTTGAAAGGTAAAAAGAGTCAATAAGAGAACAATTTAACCAAGAGGCTTCTCTTTGGCAAAATGAGAAGATATAATTTCAGTATCTGTGATGCCCGTCCCATGGTAGTAATAAACTTATCATACTTACATGTCTAGGTCACCAAACCAAAATGTGTTGGGGAAGAAAGGCTTAGGCCCTCGGAGCACAGTTCAAATATATTTTTGGTTCAATTAAACTCACATGGAGTTGTGGTGCCATATCTAGCTGAATCGTGGGTCAGCAGTTTGTTCTTCAAGCTTCGTCTCCCCACTCCCTGTGCACCAATCAAAATCAGAGTCTTCCTGCGAAAGGGGGGCATTTTTGCGACCTCTTCGTATATCAGAAGCTCATGGCGGTCAAACTCTGTGATATATAAATAACAAGCATGACATGGCCTTGCTTCAGCTAGTTATGGTTAAATATTCTCAGCTGTTTGATTGTAAAAGAAATAGAGCACCACTCATTGGAGCTTGTAAATTGCAGTCAGCAATGTACTACCCTTTAAAACTTCTGACGGCAACTACTCAAAATCTGCATTCTATGAAACTATATAGAAAACAAATTTTAATTTACACTCAGCGGCCATTTTGTTGGGTACCCCAGTTCACTATCTCTACCTCAAATATCTGACTAGCCAATCATGTGGCAGCAACTCACTACATGAAGCTTGCAGATATGGTCAAGTAGTCCACTTCTTCAAATCAAATATAAAAATGAGAAAGAAATTAGATTTCGGTGACTTGGACTGATTGTACAGACAAATGATAATAAGAGTCTTAAGCAACTTTGTGATGTTATGTCAGCATGTACCAGAATCTCTAAAGAATGTTGTTGAATAACCACCAGAATAATTTAGCTTACTTTGGGGGCAAAGACTTGTCCTGCTAAGTATTACATATACCGAATACATATAACGAAATGTCTGTTGATTTAAACATCTCTGTATTTGTTGTATTAGTAAGATGTACCTAATAAAGTGCACACTGAATTTTTAACATCAGTGATGTCCTGTCATTAAAAAGACACTCCACTGACCAAATCATAAAAACAAAAAAACAAAAAACAATTACAAACAATTAAAAACATTAAAATATGCATTTTTTTTCACTGGGGATATATCTAAAAATATCTTGCAAAAGCTGCATATTATTTGTCTGCAGCCTTTGCAAGCCCTCCCCTTCTAACCCAGGCTAGACTTTCTGTGACTGTCCAATCACAGGCTTAACAATGCAGCTCAATGAGAAGTCTTTGCAAGGCAGGTGCTCTTGAGTTTAGAGCCACTGAGCTAAACAAACCAGGAAGTAAAAGGAGTGGTTGTCTGATTTACAGCCAGGGGGATGAAAAATGTTAACTTATGAAAGTGCTAATTTCTATTGAAATCTGTGCTTTTGTAAAATGAAAAAAGAGTTCACACAAAGTGCTTTAGAGATCTGTAGTGCACCTTTAAAGGGATACTATAAGTGCCAGGAACTATAGCTCCCTCTGCCTCTCCCCACACTTGCAGCCATCCCCCAGTTCATGGATAGGGGGTTAAAAACCCTTCATTTACTTACCTGACCCTCAAGCCGATGTCCCTCTGCGCTGGGTATCGGCTCTGCCTACTCCGACGTCCCACGGTGAGCTGGCACTGGTGCGCATGGGCGGCAAATGTTGCACGCGCTTTTGACCTCCCCATAGGAAAGCAATGAATCAATGCTTTCCTATGGGGACAAATCTGACGCTGGATGTCCTCATGCAGACAGCCAATGGAGGCAGATTTTGTGCTGCAATGTAAACATTGCAGCACTAAGTGCAATCGGGACACTGCACCCAGACCACTTCAATGAGCTGAAGTGGCCTGGGTGCCTATAATGTCTCTTTAACATAGACTGGATATTATATATGAAAAGTTTAATAGAAACTGCTGACACTTAATAAGTGTGACTTCATGTTAACATAGTATCTTCATGGACCAAATAGGAATTAATTTGTGGTCTACGTGTCCACAAAAATAATTATTATATCTAGATGTTTATTGCATACTTTTCTATACCTATTACTGCCCCTTTAATTGTATATATCAATGTGCATATTAATTTATATGTCTTAATTTACCTGCATTTTTAGTGGTGACATACATAATTCTTTTCTTTTTCTTTCCACCAATACTTCCACACAGCGCACCTAAAGAAGTACATTAATTTACATTAATAAGATGTTACACAAAGCACAATTACAGTTTGGGTATATATAATTATGTCCTCTTTGACAGAGTTCTGTTTTTTTTTTTCTGTGTAAATGTGTAAACGAGTAGAAAAGAGTTAATTACCATTTTAACCAACCTTTGCCAAAATTCCAAACGCTACAACAAAGATGGCAGAACGCAATTGTGCATGAGAAGCACATTAGAATAGAAAAGAGTGACAGAGGGATTTAGGCCCAAAATAGGGACTGTCCTCCTAACTAGGGACACTTGGGAGGTATGGGATATAGGCCCTTTGAAGAGACATGTGATCCTCAGTTAAGGGTATTTTTAAATCCATATGTTTGCTGGTGAATTTGAAAGGACAGTACAGGTTATTTGTATACATCTTTGTTGAAATGCAATGTGTATTACATGTCCTATTAAGCTCAGTGCCACAATGAACTTATTAATGAACTTATAGAATTTAGTAGCCTTCACCAAAACAAGTGCCACAGAACAACTTTTGAATAGCGCAGAGCTGTGTCTGTGTGGGCAAATTAAATAAACTAATTAAAATCAGTGCCCAATCTTTTACTTTACACAGAATTTGAAAAGCATTAAAGCCCTGCTTTAAAGACGGCCGAGTTTGTACTTTTTTTGCCTGTTAAATGCTGAGAAAATAATATTTTCTATCATCAACATGTTGTATTGGAGAATAAAATGGACACAGTTGGTGATTAAGATGCCTACTTTAAAATAATCTTTGTCTCTTAAAGGCTGAGAACTCCCATCCATTAAAACATGGTTAATTCATGTATTTTTTTCCCAGTTGTCAGGTACACTTAAAATACCATATTTACTCAAATCTAATGCGCACCTTTTTTGGAAAATAAAGTTTAAAAAATTTGAATACACATTAGATTAAATTAAAACTGGCAAATTCACACAGGCGAATTCCATTCTGGCAAATTCACACAGGTGAATTAAAACTGGCGAATTCACAGAGGCGAATTAAAACTGGCGAATTCACAGAGGCGAATTAAAACTGGCAAATTCACACAGGCGAATTTCATTTCAAGGGCTTAAAGGACCACTCTAGGCACCCAGACCACTTCAGCTTAATGAAGTGGTCTGGGTGCCTGGTCCAGCTAGGGTTAACCCATTTTTTTATAAATAGGTTAATCCAAGCTTTTAAAGCCTCTAGTGGCTGTCTCATTGACAGCCGCTAGAGGCGTTTGCGTGCTTCTCACTGTGAAAATCACAGAGAGAAGACGCAAGCGTCCATAGGAAAGCATTATGAATGCTTTCCTATGAGACTGGCTGAAGGCACGCGCAGCTCCTGCCGCGCATGCGCTTTCAGCCGAAGAGAAGGAGAGGAGGCGGAGAGGAGGAGGAGAGCTCCCCGCCCCGGCGCTGGAGCAAGGTAAGATTTTAACCCCTTCCTCTCTCCAGAGCACGGCGGGAGGGGGTCCCTGAGGGTGGGGGCACCCTCAGGGCCAGTGGTGTATCCTGGTTTTGTGCTGCCCTAGGCAGGACAAAACTCAGGCGCCCCCCAAACCCCACAGCCCCCCCATGGGCACGCGACCCCCACCCATCCCTTCCCCCCGCCCTGCCTTCTAAATACACACACACTCACTGACAGATACGCATACACTAGCTAACAGAAACACAAACTAACTGACACACACAGACACTCACTCACTCACTAGCAGACACACACTAGCAGACACACACACACTCACTGACATACTCACAGGCAAACATACACACACAGTCAGACACAAACACACTCACTCACTAGCAGACACACACACTCACTAGCAGAAACACACACTCACTAGCAGACACACACACACACTCACTAGCAGACACACACTAGCAGACACACACACTCACAGTCAGACACACACACAATAACAGTCAGACACACACACACTAACAGTCAGACACACACACTAACAGACAGACACACTCACCAACAGACAGACACACTCACTAACAGACAGACACACTGACAGACACACTCACTGACAGACACACACACTCACTGACAGACACACTCACTAACACACTAACAGACACACTCACAGACACACTCACAGACACACTCACACACACACACACACACACTAACACACAACTAACAGACACACTCACAAACAGACACACTCACACACACACACACTCACATTAACACATTTATTTATTTTTTTAACCCCCCCTCCCCCCTTAACTTTGGGAATGCTGAGGGGGGGAGGGTTCCCTCTCTCCCTGGCTGTCCAGTGGCTGCTGGGCTGGGCGGGTGGCTGGCGAGGGATCACTTCCTCTGTGCGGTCTGCTCAGCTCCCTCGTGCACTTCAGAGTGAGCCTGGGAGCCGGGATATGACATCATATTCCGGCTCCCAGCCTCACTCTGCGGCGTGCGAGGGAGCTGAGCAGACAGCTCAGAGGAAGAGCTCCCTCGCCAGCGCAGCCCACCCAGCGCCGCCCGCCCGCTAGGCATGTCAGTTAGCCGCAAGGCTAACAAGACATTTGCCCTGGGCATTTGGGGGGCGGCTTTTTTTGCCGCCCCCTGGAAAATGCCGCCCAAGGCAAATGCCTTGTTTGCCTCGTGGCTAAAACGCCCCTGCTCAGGGCACTATAGTGCCAGGAAAACGAGTATGTTTTCCTGGCACTATAGTGGTCCTTTAAGAAAGAATAGGTTTAACATGTAACAATAAAATTTACATACCATCAATGTTACTATTATGTATGGCAGTAAACATTTTCATTGTAGCACAATGTTGTAAAGTAGTATCTTCTTGAATAAACGCACATTACATTCACCAGCAAAATCATTTTTCAACTTCCAGGTTTCAAAAATTGAGGTGCGCATTAGATTCGAGTAAATAGGTATGTGCCGATAGAATGTACTTCATTTGGCTCTACAAGTTTTAGCATGTTTTTAATCAATGTACAGTGTTAGCAGCAAAGGTCAAGGGTTAAATGTTACTGACTGGAGTTTGGGGTTAGTTCTCCGTCCCGTTTTACGAATGCTTTCCTCTTCTCTTCTAGCAACTGGCTAGGTATCAACCCGGCACTGCCACCCTTTACCAGACAGGCCTACGTGGATTAAACAGAAAATCAGGTGACGGAGGGAAGTCAAGGAATGCAAAGAAGAAGAGATAGCAATGTGCGTGGTAGAAGAACCAAGAAAGTTTGCAAGGGCAGGATATAGAGTATGAACATGGGGGAAACAGGTTTAAGAGAATGAGAAGAATTAAAAGGAATCAAGACTTAAAGTACAAGATGAAAACAAAGTTGGGAGACTTATCAAAGAAAAAAATGGTGCAATTTTGGGGCAAACTTCTAAACAGAAGCCAATATAATATCTCAAAACATTTAAAGCAGCCTTCCCTAAACTCCGGCCCTCCAGTTGTTGCTGAACTACAACTCACATGATTCTCAGCCTATCTATTTCATTCATAGAATCATGGGAGTTGTAGTTCAGTAACATCTGGAGGGCCTGAGTTTGGGGAAGCCTGATTTAAAGAGACACTATAGGCACCCAGACTACTTCAGCTCATTTAAGTGGTCTGGGTGCAGTGTCCCTGTCAGTTTAACCATGCAATGGTAATTATTGCAGTTATTGAGAGACTGCAATAATGACCTTGCAGGGTTAACTCCACCTCTAGTGGCTGACTACCAGACTTTTTGTCTCCTAACTGACTGACAACGTCTGCTAAAACCCCCTAGGAAAGCATTATTAAATGCTTTACTATGGGGTTGTCCTAATGCAATCTCCGGCAATGCGCATTAGGTCCCCGATGTCGGGGGAGGAGGAGCAAAGGCAGAGCCCGACTTTGGAGCTGGATTTAGGTAAGTGACAAAAGGCGCAAGCAAGGGTGCACTATAAGCTAGGACAGGGATAGGCAACCTTCGGCACCCCAGATGTTGTGGACTACATCCCCCATAATGCTCTTACGCCCATAATGCTGGCAAAGCATCATGGGAGGTGCAGTCCAAAACATGTGGAGTGTCAAAGGTTGCCTATGCCTGGGCTAATAATACAATTTTGTATTCCTAGCCTATAGTTTCCCTTTAACACTTTGCACTCAGAAGAACACATGCTTTGCCTTGATAAATCTCCCTCAATAAAGGGAACTGAGTGTGCAAGTTAAAAGAGAGAAATCAGATGACTGAGTAAAAATGTCAATTACATCAATAGAACTGTGGGACAAAGCACTCACAGTTGTCTAAAATCACAGGTGTACAAGGTGAATTTTAATAAATTCATCGCTCATGCCAAAACAGGTAAGAATAAATTAAGAGGACAGGCACCAATACACCATTTATGCATTTTATATCTTTCATCCTCAGTAATTAGTGTATTTTGCATGCCCAATTTTGTAAATTTTTTTGCAAAATCAAAAATAAATGCTTTGCAAATTTCTATAGTTTACCCCTTTTAACGCTTTGTCCAACCTCCTCCATTCTAAAATACTTCCTTTGTGCTTGTTACTGTATTCCCTTCCTGTCCCTCCTCCTAACCTGCTCTAATAACATTTGTGTACAGTTCATCAAGAAGCTCAGTGTATTGTCGGAGCACGTCTAATAATGCACTTGCACTATGTTGCCAGGTTTTCTGGTGCTTGTTTCCTGGTGTCCCCAGATGTGGGACACCAGGGAGCTAACGAAGGATGGCAGGACAGGATCCAGAAATCAGGACTGTCCCGTTGAAAGTGAAACTGTTGGGAGGTCTGACAAAAGTTTAAATACCATAGACTAGAATAAAAAGCTCTTGATTGACCAAGCAATTTCTTGCCATAGAAACCATTTGATGATATGTGGATTAGGAGAAAACCAAAGAAACCTTCGAGTGATTATCCTTTGCACGTTTTATTATTTTGCATTGGTTGTTTTTACATATTTTTTATACTGCATTATCTATACAGTGCATTAAAAAATTGTGTTCCAACCTGGAGTATTTATAGGAACAAATAGTTAATGAAAGAAGGGAACTGAGTGCAGAGAGAATACTGACCAAGTAGATTGGAATAGGCTGTTCGCACTAGTCACTCACTTGCCACCAGTTGGGGTCTTCCTGGTTCACAATCTGGAGGAGGTCTCCTGCCCGAAAGGCCAACCCAGCTTCCTTGCAAGGGATTAGGCTGTCTTTTGAAGGGTCGTAGCTAAAGTGACATTTTACAAATACCTGTAGAAGAAGAATTAATGATACATCAAAAATATGATTATATTTCTCCTATGCTTTCTTTGACAGGTTTAAGACTGATTATCAGGGTTCCCCCTTGAGGGTCACCTACAAAATTACTTCTATAATAACCTTCTTGAGTATTTAATCCTTCTAAACACTGGATATGTTATCTATGGCACTGCTCAAAATGTCCACATGCCCAGTAGTCATTGGCAAGTGAAAGTTCAGCCCTGGCCAATAACAATTCACACCAGATACATGTACCATGGACTCTCCATGCTTGCAGTGGCGAGTAACTTTTAGGAGTGTCTAGTAGCGTAAGACTTGAAATTGTAAGCCCTGATCTCTAGTATATGCAAAGTCACCATGAGTTAGGCAAGTGGGGTCATGCCTAAGAAATATGTTAAGATGTCAAAGCTTTATAGCACTTGGGATATCTCAGTTGGATAACTATATGAAAATAAATGCAGCCTTCTTCCAGAAGCTACCTGCCGCAGAGGGTGCTGCTCCTGGTAGCTGGGAAGTATCTTCAATACCACACTTCCACTGGCTTCCCGTAGCATATCTTGCAGAGCTTGAGGGTCGCTTCCTACTTCCCTGCCATTCACCTCTCGAATCACATCCCCTACATGTAACAGACCTTGCTGGTCTATAACTCCACCATGTAGAATCCGAGCAATCACCAGCTCCCCTCCTTCCACACGGAATGTTACACCCTACAGGAGTGGAAAAGGAAGAGAGTGACAAATGTCAATGAGAACATAATTGTTCTGCTTGGACTAGCAGTACCTGCAGCGATTTTCAGCTTACCAGATGTTCCCCAGCACTCTTTCTGACTCCCACCATGCGTACAGCATCTGGTGGGACTGGCTGGTTGCTGAGAGTTGGATCCAACAGGGGACTGGGTGGTGGGGTCTCGTAGTTTTTAGATGCCACAGAATCATGAGTCTGTAAAAGAGACTGGAGGTAGAAGGACGGGGTAGAGAAAAAGTTAGGGAGACAAAAGTTAAATTTAAGAACACAAATGAAATAATAAAATTTTAATAATTGAACAAATGAGACAAAAAAGGGACAGAATAGAATTGAAAAGAAGATTCCAAGAAAAAAATGGCCTTTGGCGAGAAATGAAAGGCAATGCAAATAAAGGTAAGAAAAGTAAAAGTGAAGGAAAAACTTGATGAAAACAACAAAAAAAGAAAAAAATATGACTTTGAAAACGAGTGAAGATTAGATGCATTAAAGGCTGTCTACCGATCTACTACCTGGAAATGGGGTTCCTGCAGGATTCGCTGCAATTCAGCTGCTGCCCCACTTGGATCTCTCATTCCTGACATGTCCTGGAGAATCTCCTGCACCAATTGCAGGTTGTTCTCTCGCACAGCTTCCAGACGAGTCTCTTCCATTCGCTCATGAGCCTGGACAGAGGGCAACAGATATAGGAGTTATGTCGTTGGGGAGATGGGTTGAAGGTGGGGGATGATGTGTACAAGGGTTTGGCAGGAATACCATAAAATGTTAGAGAGGAGAGGACAAGAAACATGTTTTGAGTAGAAACAAAGTGTGACCAATGGGGTATAGTGTTTAATAGGTGACAATACATTATGGGAGTGAACAAAACTAAATTACATATAACTACACACGCAACATTGCCTAGTTGTACTCTCTAACCTTTCACTAGATGCCTTCACTTTCACTCTACATTCACTTTTCATTCCACATGCACGTTAAATTTTTGTTAATTCCTGTGTTGTTGCTCTTTCCACAGATAGCTCTGCCATGTATTAACATACTATGTGAAAATTCTTGGTTTTTTTTCCCCTTGCAATTTTTTTTTAAGGCTGGAACTATTCTTGAGCTACATTTCAATGGCTAGCTGACTTCCTACAACAGTTTGAAGGTCAAATTTAAATACTTATTACGTAATACTTTATAAACTGCTTAAGCCATATTGATAATTTTGAGATCAATTTGGTACTTAGTGTTTTTGTTTTTTGAAGAGTTTACTTAATGAAATGTATCATTCCTGTCATTATCATCCTTTGGACATTTGGGGCTTCTTTGTCCATCTTCTAAAATGTTTTACTCTTTATTTCCATGATAACACATAACAGGGGATGAGGATTCAAATTAATATTGCTGTCTAGCTTCCACAACTTCAACAATTGAATCTTGTGAAGAGCAGGTGGGCCATGAGTGGAAGGAAGAGGAAGGAGGGTGTACAAAACTGTTTGAAAATGTTTCTCAATTCCAAGATGGCTTCATCCATGAATGAAATGGTGCCATCTTCAAGGTCTGCTTAGAGCTGTATTTTCATCTTCTATAGATGCTTTCTAACCTACAATGCTCTACTTTTTCCTTCCTTTAACTGGCTTTATTTTGGCCAATTTAGATCCCACTGTGTCTTTCAAGTACTCACCATTGGACTCTCCATGATGCCTTTAAGAAAGATTAGATCCAAGTCAGAAGAAGGCGGGGTGTCTGCAAGTGTCTGAAAGACCCGCTCCATGGCTTAAGGTTCGAAAGAGAGAGACGAAAAAAGACAGAGAAACACTATTATTATTTTATTATTTATATAGCGCCATCAGATTCCATATCAAAAGCATGCATGGATACTTGGAACTACCTTTGTAGCTTGGTGTTTGGTTCATTAATGGACATCAACAGAATGATTCACTAATCTCTAAATTTTAACAATTACAATGTGAATGGCAAATTTAAAGCTAAAACAGCTGATTTAAAATCTTCAATTTTGCCTTTCTGATTTAATTAGCTAAATTTTGGAATAACACTGCACATATACTTGCAGTACCTATGAAATTACTGACACAGAATAAGGTCTATGATTGGCCACTAGAAAAGATATGAAAGTGTACCAAAAATATAAATGTATCTGGTACATCTGAGAAAGTTCTTTAGCTTTTCAAAACAGCAATGGCACACACAATGAGTCTGAAAGCACATGTAAAACCTGCTGAGACTCATTGAGATACTATGACAATAATTTTAAATTGTCTGCGGAAAACATTAGATGGCTAATTAGCCGAAATCCGTACACTCATCATGTCAGCCAAACGAAGAGCAATGATGCAAACATAAATTGTAGTTGTAATTCAATTATTGAGTAGAAAGCAGTGTTTCAGCTAAGCAGACACAAGGGGTTGATGGTATCTAGTAGTATTAGTATAATACTGGGTAGGAGGTCAATGAGCATATGTGGTTTTTAGATAACTAAAATAAGAATGATATAAAAACGAGTGGATGTGAAAAGTGAATTTATTTGGTAGTTGTGGGTGGAAGTGTTCAGATTGTGCAAGATGTTTTCAGTAAAGTTTAGGTGTTACCATGTAAAGTAGTTGTGTGATGTTGTAGGGTAGATAGTTACTGTATGAAGGTTGCTGAAGTTCGATGTTACCATATGGCGTAGATAGTAGACGGATAATGTCCATTATGTGAGACAGAAGCATGTTGAAAATTGCAGAAGCTCAAATTATAATGTAGCTGATTACTGGAGGGAAAGGGGTAGGCATCCTTTGGCACTCTAGATTTTGTGGATTACATCTCCGCTGAGGCTTTGCCAGCATTATGGTTGTAAGAGCATTATGAAAGGTGTAGTCCACAACATCTGGAGTGCCGAAGGTTGTCTACCCCTAGGGTAAGCTAGTATAGTACACAGGCTATAGCATTGTGATATACTATTATTATTACTCTTTGCTGACTATATACAGCAGAAGATACACGAAGTACAGGGTATTTTTTACCATAGGTAGAAGATGCTGGGGGCTGTACAGGGTAGATGTTACTTTGGGAAGTAAAGACAGGTGTAGAGACACAAATCATGACAGTGACCATACCTATGAAGGATTTGGACTTTTAAGGCATTGCTGTTGACTATATGAAATGGACAGATGGTGGGATTGTGATTAAAATTAGTGGCTGCCTGGGGTAGATTGTAACTGAAGTGTATGAGGACTATAAACAGTCCTTATAAAAATGAACCGGTCTTTTATGGTAGTTATAGCATTTGGAGCTTATAGCAGCACGTATTCGGTGTTGGAGAAGCAGGCAAATAATAAATCCAAAAACATGGAGTAAATGGAGACCCCGTCTAGATAGGGTTTTAAGAGAAAAAATGGGATGGCGATTAACAGATAATACAAATAATACAACTGTGTTATTTGAACTCTAAAAGGGGTCAGATATTATGGAAGGATCACAAGTACTTGAGTTGGACAAATGATAAATGCTGGGGTTGTATAAGGGCAGATGGGTGGGACATATAAAATAGACACTGTACGAGAAAAATGCTTCAATATAGGAGTATGGGGGAGTACCGGTTAGGAATTGCAGTGGTAGAATTGGGGAGGTGGAAAAGGTACCTAGAAGATGCAGGTAGTTTGGTGACTTTATGATGCAGTTGAGGTGGAGAGATGGGGAGGCGGGGAAGGGGGGCTTCTAGGAAGTGTGTTGGGGTATATAGGGAAAAATGGGGAGGTTAACATTCAGTTACCTTCTCTGTGTAAGTCAGACTCGTCTGCAGAATCCAGAGACACCCCCTCTAGAGAGACCCCACTTACAGGACTGGCCATAACAGGGGGTAGCTGTCTTCCTGTTCCTTAACTCTATTTTCCCCCTTTCTTTTGCTGCGTCTCTCTGACCCTTGCCCCTCACACCTTATCACTCTAGAGGTTCTCCTTCACCCAATTCCTGAGACTCACTCTGCCTTCTCCCAGTCCTTCTCCCTGCTCCACTCTAACTGTCTGAATCACCCTCCCCCTGTGTCACCACACCAGCCTCCCCAGCCAGAAGCTGTGCCTTCCCAGGCAAGGAGAGAGGAAGTCAGATAATGATACACAGGGATGGGGACAGATATGGTGACAGCTCCCAGCTACTGAGGATGACATTTCGCCCTTTCGGACCATTTCTAGCCTTCGTTAAGGGGTTAAATAGCTGTTACCTGTAAAAATGCCAAATAATGAAGAAGAAAAAGGTGAACATTTCAGGAGCTTCTGGTGGGGAGGCTGGAATCATAATAATTCTTATCTATTTCTCTATTTAGCAGTCACACTTCCACAACCCCCCCACACTTTGTCAGGGCCCCTTTAAGGCTCTGGTGCTTTGAGCATCACTGCTAGTTTCCATGGTAACCCAGGGATTATACAGGATGGGTACCAGCCTGCATGCTAGGAGCTTTAACCCTTGAATTTCCTGAATTTACACATCCAGATTTGATGAATGTGTACACATTTCTGCTATTGAAGTGAAAGAGCGCAGCTAAACGAATGGATAGAAGGACAGACAGACAAATATAGGCCGACAGATGCAATTTGTGTTGTTAAAATATGATGGCAATCTATATATATATGTGCTAAAAGAGCTATTATTTTGGAATTGGGTGTTGCCTTTTCTGTGCATAATTTACAGGTTAACTGGGGCATGTTTATTAATACATGCCTGGATGGTGAGCCCCCTCCTCAGGCTCACTGGGGTCCTGTCACATAGAAGTCACTGCACATTGTGACAAGAGCACGGAGGGTGCAGACAGAGAGAGCGAGAAGGCATAGGGAAAGGATGACGGTGGGGGGGGATTTATTGGAGAAAAAGAGAGTGTAACAAGAAAGAAGGGGTGAAAGAACTGGCGATAATTAAACTCAAAATAGTGATAAATCTAGTTACTGAACCAGCACAAAGCAGGGGAATAATGAGACGGAGAGAAACAAGAACAAAATAGAATAAGAGCATAAAGATGGAAGGCCTGTGTGGATCATAAAGGAAAGAGGTGGGATTAATTGTATAGAAAATAGGAGGAGTTATAGGGAGAGGTTATATGGAGTAATAGGAGGAGTTATAGGGAGAGGTTATATGGAGTAATAGGAGGAGTTATAGAGAGAGGTTATATGGAGTAATAGGAGGAGTTATAGGGAGAGGTTATATGGAGTAATAGGAGGAGTTATAGAGAGAGGTTATATGGAGTAATAGGAGGAGTTATAGGAGAGGCTATATGGAGTAATAGGAGGAGTTATAGGGAGAGGTTATATGGAGTAATAGGAGGAGTTATAGAGAGAGGTTATATGGAGTAATAGGAGGAGTTATAGAGAGAGGTTATATGGAGTAATAGGAGGAGTTATAGGGAGAGGTTATATGGAGTAATAGGAGGAGTTATAGGGAGAGGTTATATGGAGTAATAGGAGGAGTTATAGAGAGGTTATATGGAGAGAGGTTATATGGAGTAATAGGAGGAGTTATAGGGAGAGGTTATATGGAGTAATAGGAGGAGTTATAGAGAGAGGTTATATGGAGTAATAGGAGGAGTTATAGGGAGAGGTTATATGGAGTAATAGGAGGAGTTATAGGGAGAGGTTATATGGAGTAATAGGGGGAGTTATAGGGAGAGGTTATATGGAGTAATAGGAGGAGTTATAGGGAGAGGTTATATAGAGTAATAGGAGGAGTTATAGGAGAGAGGTTATATGGAGTAATAGGAGGAGTTATAGGAGAGGTTATATGGAGTAATAGGAGGAGTTATAGGGAGAGGTTATATGGAGTAATAGGAGGAGTTATAGGGAGAGGTTATATGGAGTAATAGGAGGAGTTATAGAGAGAGGATATATGGAGTAATAGGAGGAGTTATAGGGAGAGGTTATATGGAGTAATAGGAGGAGTTATAGAGAGAGGTTATATGGAGTAATAGGAGGAGTTATAGAGAGAGGTTATATGTAGTAATAGGAGGAGTTATAGGGAGAGGTTATATGGAGTAATAGGAGGAGTTATAGAGAGAGGTTATATGGAGTAATAGGAGGAGATATAGAGAGATTATATGGGATTATAAGAATAGTTATAGCGAGAGGTTATATGGAGTAACAGGAGTTATAGGGAGAGGTTACATGGAGTAATAGGAGGAGTTAAAGGGAGAGGTTATATGGAGTAATAGGAGGAGTTAAAGAGAGAGGTTATATGGAGTAATAGGAGGAGTTATAGGGAGAGGTTACATAGAGTAACAGGAGTTATAGGGAGAGGTTATATGGAGTAATAGGAGGAGTTATAGAGGGAGGCTACATGGAGTAATTGGAGAAGTTATAGTGAGAGGTTATATGGAGTAATAGGAGAAGTTATAGGGAGAGGTTATATGGTGTAATAGGAGGAGTTATAGAGAATGGTTAAATGGAGTATTAGGAGGAGTTCTAGGGAGAGGTTATATGGAGAAATAGTAGGAGTTATAGAGTAAGTTTATGTGGAGTAATAGGAGGAGTTACAGGGAGAGGTCACATGGAGTAATAGGAGAAGTTATAGAGAGAGCTTACTTCTTTTCTATGAATTCTTCATACTCACCGGCGTCAGAGTTTAAGGATGGCACAGCGACAGGCATTGAGATTAGTCAATATATTTGTACTGCGAATGTAAGATGTGTGGTGGTTGCAGGTTACTAAAAGTAACCTTTTTAGAATGAGTTATGCTGCTTCTGGGTCCTGGAAATAGAACAGAAAATTAAATGTTAATATTGATATGATAGAACATCTTTAATTCTGGTTAATTTAACCTATGTTCTATGAAAACTAGAAACATAGAATGTGACAGCGGATAAGAACCATTCGGCCCATCTCGTCTGCCTACATTTCTAGATACTTTCATTAGTCCCTGGCTTTATCTTATAGTTAGGACAGCCTTATGCCTAACCCACGCATGCTTAAACTCCCTCACTGTGTTAACCTCTACCACTTCAGCTGGAAGGCTATTCCATGCATCCACTACCCTCTCAGTAAAGTAATATTTCCTGATATTATTTTTAAACCTTTGCCCCTCTAATTTAAGACTGTGTCCTCTTGTTGTGGTAGTTTTTCTTCTTTTAAATATAACCAGTTTACATCTATCTGTTATGGTTATGGTTAAAAGAGTTCCCTGGGGCCTGCTGGAATCTGGTCACCTCCTCCATGACAGGTGTATAGTCTCCATTTTGGGCAGTGGGAATCCAGGACAATTACCCCATAACCTAACCCAATAACGCACGGACACTAAGGGATATGGGGAAATTTGTCCACAGCTTTATTGAGCAAACAATAATAATAATAACAATAATAATAATAATAATAACAACTTAATAAGTAAAACATGGGTCATTGCCCCCCATACTCCGCCCTCGCATCCTATTCCTTCCATTAACATATAAAGGGCAATGACCCCCATGTAAATAAACATATATATATATACATAACATACATCAACATTATTCCAATCGATGTAAAGTGCCAACCATCCATTAGCCACGGCAGGGGTATACCCGGATACCCCTACCCCACCAGGTTCTGAGCCACCGACAGGACTCGAAACCTATCAACCACCAATGACCACCACTTGTTTATTTTCCATTACGTTCATCCTGGGGAGCCTATTTCCTTTCCTTCAGCTCCCCATCCCGCCGCTGTGAAAAAACGGGACAAAACCACACATAACAAAACAGGGAGGGTGGGAGGGACAAACTTAACCAGGTAGGAAATTAGAATGACTTACATAAAATGGCTGCCCATTTAAATAACCAAACCTACTTACCCATAACTCCACTCCCTTGCTTACTTCCTCCTAAGCCCGCCTCCTAACCCCTGTCAAGGCCTTTTTTCGCTTAGCTGCGCTTGGCTACATGGGGCTACATGAGAACCAGAGGCACTATGCATTGAACTAAACCTGGCCGTTCAGGGCTTAGCTCATTGGCTGAGTTTTATCTCAGTCAATGAGCTGGCACTGCACTGCAGAACTTAGCTCAGTGGAGGAGCTTTCTGTCCTCAATGGAGGAAGTCACCAGTGCCTGGCTAACACAAGACAAAGTTGTCAAATTGTTAGCAAACAGATTACTGGGGGCTACTTGTGGGCTACCAGGGCACCCTTAGCTGAAGTGGTCCTGTGCTTGGAGTGTTCCTTCAAGTGTTTAGGGAATAAACTAATTCTGCGGCAAATTAATTCCTACATTTACTCATATATCTCCCTTCCTCCAACTTCAAGTGATATCCTCTGGTTTTAGCTTTCCTCTATGAACTTTAAGTCCCTAGAGATATTTGGAAGTTTCCATCACGTCACCCATATCCCTTCTCTGCTTTCTACTGTATACTGTACATTGAGGGATTTTGAGGCCTCCTTATTTCTAATTTAGACACGTATTTGTGTGGTTTCCTTTCATTGAATGTCCTGTAGCGTATTAATGGTGTTTGGAAGAACAGGTCTCCATGGAATCCATGGTAGTTATCCGTGTAATGAACTCTGGTGCAAAGTTCTAAATTGCAGTTGCCATGGAAACCAATGGACTGTTGGTACTTATTGTTCCTATTTTAGAATTTTGACCCAGAGCAACTTTTATATATATCACCATTATTCTAGGAAAGATATTGCAAAAGGCAGTAGCATTATTGATATTAAGTCAGTTTCATGTGCACCATTCACCTGCCTAACATTGGCCTTGATTCTGTTTTCAATATTTCTGGATAAGCTTTTCCAATGATCAAAATCTGCAAAACGTGCCAAATTATTTATCTATAGAAGTTACCATTAACGTCTATGGAGAGCATATCCAAAAATATAAAATTTAGACCACTGTTTGATTAAACTATAGTAATCTGATATGGTAATAATGGGAACACATATATTAATAATACAACTATTTCACTACTTGGATTTATTCAATCTATATATGGTTTGTGCTTTTACTTTATTACAATTCTCAGTAGTTTTTATTTTTCACTTTTTTTATTTACTGTAAATGCCATGCCATATAATTACTTATGTTTGTATGATCCTGAGGAAAGCCACAGAAGGGGGCTGAAACGTTGATCAGAGTTTTTATGAATTTGCAATAAAGATATCGTTTTAACGTGAGTGCAAGCCAGTTTCTATATATCCTATATAAATTACTTAGCCATAGCTCCTAAAATTTCAAATGGACATAAGAGCAGTGGTGGGGGTGTTTAGGGGCAGGGCTGTTATGAGAAATTTTAGTTGGCTTAAAGGAACACTATAGGGTCAGGAACACAAACATGTGTAAAAACTCAATCTAGCCCCCCTGGCTCCCCTTGCCCCTAAATATAAGAAAATCTTACTTGTTTTCAAGTCTGCTGCTACTGGCTCTGGCCCTGATCTGCCTGCTTGGCTGACATCATCAGAAGTGGTGATTTGAGCCTATCACAATGCTTTCACATAGGAAAGCATTGGATTGGCTGAGCTTGTCAAAGAGGCAGATCAGGGACAGAGCCAGCACAAGTCAAACACTGCCCTGGCCAATCATTATCTCCTGATAGAGATACATCGAATCAATGCATCTCTATGAGGAAATTTCAGTGTCCCCATGCAGAGGGCAGAGACACTGAATGCCAGTCAGACTGTGCAGCACTACCACAGTAAGCACCTTTAGTAGTCAAATGAGGAGTGGCTTGTGGAGGTATCCCTAGGTTGTAATGTAAACACTACCTTTTCTCTGAAAATACAGTGTTTACTGCAAAAAGCCTGAGTTGTTCTGGTGACTTTAGTATCCCTTTAATAACATTTTATGCAACTAAAGTGTAACACGAGTAATGTATCTTATTTACACAGACTGGTTTCTAAACACATTTATTGTAGTTTAAAGACACATTAATGGGAGTATTATTGCTGTGGAGCTCTGTTATAAACAGACACACCAACAATATGGAGCTCTTATAAAAGAGGCACAGAGGGATTTTGGCCAGAAATAGGCACTGTCCCAACTAAATAGGGACACTTAGAAGGTATATCAATCACAGTGCTATGCATGGAAGCAGTCGAAAGGCTGTCTCTATTGAAGGATTGCCCAAGTGTTTTCATATGACTTTCCCCGAGAGCCCAGGAGCATTCTTGTAATTGACTGCCAATGTCTTGTTACTGCTTTCTGATTATTCAGATTGTAAATTATGTTGATGTAAATTGAAAGACACATTACGCATGGAGTGGGCCAGACTCCATACTTCTTGGAATAACCCACCAGCAGAAATGTTTGCCAAACACAGTTAAATACACTGGACAAAATTATAAACGCAACACTTTTGTTTTTTCCCCCATTTTTTACGAGCTGAACTCAAAGATCTAAGACTTTTTCTATGTACAAAAAGGCCTATTTCTATTAAATATTGTTCACAAATCTGTCTAAATCTGTGTTAGTGAGCACTATTCCTTTGCCGAGATAATCCATCCACCTCACAGGTGTGGCATATCAAGATGTTGATTACACAGCATGATTATTGCACAGGTGTGCCTTAAGCTGGCCACAATAAAAGGCCACTCTAAAATGTGCAGTTTTACTATATTGGACAAGTCCAGGGGGGGTCCAAAAATCAGTCAGTATCTGGTGTGCCCATAATTTGCCTCACGCAGTGTATCACATCTCCTTCGCATTGAGTTTAACAGATTGTTGATTGTGGCTTGTGGAATGTTGGTCCACTCCTCTTCAATGGCTGTGTGAAGTTGCTGAATATTGGAAGGACCTGGAACACGCTGTCGTATACGCTGATCCAGAACATCCCAAACATGCTCAACAGGTGACATGTCCGGTGAGTATGCTGTCCATGCAAGAACTGGGATGTTTTCAGTTTCCAGGAATTGTGTGCAGATCCTTCCAACATGGGGTCGTGCATTATCATGCTGCAACATGAAGGAATGGTCGTGGATGAATGGCACAACAATGGGTCTCAGGATCTCATCACAGTATCTCACAGTATCAATAAAATGCACCTGTGTTCATTGTCCATAACATATGCCTGCCCATACCATAACCCCACCGCTACCATGGGCCAATCGATCCACAATGTTGACATCAGCAAACTGCTCACTCACACAATGCCATACACGCTGTCTGCCATCTGCCCTGTACAGTGAAAACCGGGATTCATCTGTGAAGAGAACACCTCTCCAAAATGACAGACGCTATCGAATGTGAGCATTTGTCCACTCAAGTCAGTTACGACGACAAGGACAACGGGCATGCAAATGAGCTTTCCTGAGACAGTTTCTGACAGTTTGTGCAGAAATTCTTTGGTTATGCAAACCGATTGTTGCAGCAGCTGTCCGGGTGGCTGGTCTCAGACGATCTTGGAGGTGAAGATGCTGGATGTGGAGGTCCTGGGCTGGTGTGGTTACACATGGTGAGCAGTTGTGAGACCTGTTGGATGTACTGCCAAAGTCTCTGAAACGCCTTTGGAAACGGCTTATGGTAGAGAAATGAACATTCAATTCACGGGCAACTGCTCTGGTGGACATTGCTTCAGTCAGCATGCCAATTGCACGTTCCCTCAAGATTTGCAACATCTGTGGCATTGTGTTGTGTGATAAAACTCCACGTTTTAGAGTGGCCTTTTATTGTGGCCAGCCTAAGGCACACCTTTGCAATAATCGTGCTGTCTAATCAGCATCTTGATATGCCACACCTGTAAGGTGGATGGATTATCTCGGCAAAGGAGAAGTGCTGACTAACACAGATTTAGACAGATTTGTGAACAATATTTGATAGAAATAGGCCTTTTTGTACATAGTCTGTTTGAGTTCAGCTCATGAAAAATGGAGTGCTGCGTTTATAATTTTGTTCAGTGTAATTCAAAAATATTTATGATATGGAAAATAGTGTTCTGAAGAACAATTAGCACTCAGGGTTATTCATTATTCTATGATTTTATAATGCAGGGTTGAAGGGGACCATTTTCATAAAATGAGTATGGCTGATGTCATGCTGACCTCATCAAACACGCAATTACTCCACGTTGCACCATTTTCAGGACATACTTGTAAACACTGTACACTTGTAAAAACCTCACTGGGGTTATTTACTAAAACTGGAATTGTGGGCAACAGATGAGAGAATTATAAACGTTAGGTCAAAAAGATACCAGTATGGAAAAATTTGCCAAGTAGTCTATTTTTCCTGCTTGGCTATGTTTGCCTGAAATTCACAGTTCTCTTGTCAACTCCAATTTAGAATTGGTTTAGTGAGTAAATGCATTATTCCTGTTAAATCACTGTATAAACAAAGATGTGAATGCAAAATAAATAACAAACACTACACACCAGGGGTGGGGAACCTTTGGCCCTCCAGGTGTTTTGGACTACATCTCCCATGATGCTCTTGAGGCCATAATGATGGCAAAGCATCAAGGGAGGTGTAGTCCAAAATATTCCCCACCCCTGCTATACACATACAAGAAAAGAAAATGACATAAAACGCATTACATACATTGACAAACAGACAGACAGACACAAATGTCACTCGTAGAGATGAAGACACATATGCACAAACCCCATACAGGGATTACATACATAAACACAAAAATCCCCATATACATATATTACGTATATAACACTTATATAAACACACAGAGACAGATGTGTGGAATGAGACAGACAGTCTGTCGATCAGTCACATTTCCATGCACAAATAAACGTCACACATTTGTTATAGATAATAAACAGAAAGACACAGACAGAAACACACAGCTACACACAATGTTTGTGTCTCTGAATAAACATCATACAAATATTCATATACAGTGTATGCACTGGCAGCACAGACACGGTGTATATGTATATTTACACTGCACACACCTACCCCTGGTCTGGATGTCAGGATATACAGGTTTTTTTGTTATGTCGTGATATATCTCCTATCAACCAGCTGGGGCTAAGCTACGATGCTGCTGGCTTTTTAAAGGGGCAACATCAGAAATAAGACCTTCCAGGATAAAGGGGGGATTTAAGGAGTGCAGTGAGGGACAACATGTTAGACTGAATACAGTGGTCGTTAAACCTCCCGGTTATATACTGCGTGCTGAATTGTAAATTTTCTATCCAAATTGCAAAATTCAAGCTAAAATACCCAATCTGTGAACTTTTCCAAATCAGCTATTTTTTACTTAATTTACCCATTTAGATTTAATTTAATTAAATATGGAGTTTTAGATTACATTTGGAAAGGCTTCCAGTTGTAAAAAAATATTTTTTTCTGTTTGCTTTAAAAATGTCAATATTGATTCAGCCATTAACTTTCAAGTTTAAGATACTCTTCATATCAAAGTAATTTGATTATTTGACTACGAAAGCCTTAGCTACTTGTTTGCAAAAACTATTCATTTTTCTAATGCTTTGAAGGGACTGGTGGATAATATAATGCCTTGTCCATGTTTTGCCAGTCAGATGTATGATTACTGAGGAAGCATTGTGCCTGTGTGAGTTCCCAAGGAGGGAAGGTTGAGAGTTGGATAGGAAGATAGAGTTTGCTGTTTTTTTGTTAGGGATTTGGGTTTAATATTAGGAGGTTGGGATTAGAGACCCCAGAGGTACCTGTATAGACTGATCAGCTACCACAATAAAACCACTGACAGATGCAGCTGAATAACATTAATTATATCGTTACAATGGCACCTGTCAAGGGGTGGGATATATTAGACAGGACGTGTGGAGCCAAGGCTTTGTGGTCCGATCACACAGAAGAGCTACTGTAGCTCAAATTGCCGAAAAACTTAATGCTGTCACTGCTAAAAAGGTTTCAGAACACACAGTGCATCGTAGTTTGCTGTGACTGGGTAGTTACAGACCAGTCAGAGTGCCCATGATGACTCCTGTCCACCGCTGAAAGCGCCTTCAACGGGGATGTGTGCATCAGAAGTGGACCATGGAACAAGTGCGTTTCTTACCTGGGGAAGAGATGGCAGCAGGATGCACTATGGGAAAATGTCAGGCCAGCGGAGGCAGTATTATGCTCTGGGCAATGTTCTGCTGGGAAACCTTAGGTCCTGACAATTATATGGGTGGAACTTTGACATGTACTAGTATTTACCTAGAGATTGTTATAGACCACGTACACCCCTTCATGGTAATGGTGTTCCCTGAAGGCAGTTGTCTCTTTGTTCAGGAATGGTTTGAGGAACGTGACAAAGAGTTCAAGGTGTTGCCTTGGCCACCAAATCAACCAAATCTGATTGAGCATCTGTGAGATGTGCTGGAACAACAAATCCAATTCATGGAGGCCCAACCTCGGAACTTGCAAGACTTAAAGGATCTGCTAATATCTTGGTGCCAGATACCACAGGACATGTTCAGAGGTCTTGTGGAGTCCATGCCTCGACACATCAGAGCTGTATTGGCATCTATAAGATCGAGGGGGATCTATAAGATTTTAGGCTGGTGGTTTTATTGTTGTGTTGATCAGTGTATATAAAATGCAGTGGTGCATTACATGAAACTAATGAGAGAAGACCATGGTGCACGAAATGTTTTGGGCTCCTGCTAGTATACGGGTTGCCAAATGTTATATTCTGAACTGTTCTGCAACTGCCAAGATGATTTGTCAGTTTGGTATCTGCCCAACTTTGCAAGGTTGTATTTGTGAGCAATTTTTCTGTGTTTGAATGCAAGCATGCTTTTGTATGGAGTATGTTAGGGTGGATGTAGGGTTGTGTTTGTGTGTAGTGTTGACATTTGAATGCAGGGGTGTAATTGTGTGTAATGTTGGTGTTGAAATGTATATGCATGTATGTAGTGTTCTCTAAGTGTGAACTCATTCACATACTAGTATGTGAACAAAAATATAATAAACAAGAAAATAGAATAAACTATAGAGCATTTGAGAAAACCTTTTAGCATAACCTATTTTTAGTTGGCTATACGATTGTGCTAAAATGGAGGAAGGGACAATTCATCATTAACACGGATAATCAAACAGTGATATAATATAGTAAAATGGAAATGCTCACCCCTGAAGTATTGTGTACATTTTATTTTGTTGGTGCAGTTTTTTTTACAAAAATAAGAATTGTTGGGAAATTATACAGGGTTATTCATTCAAGTGAGAATTTGCAGATATTCAAAGTTTGAAGTGAATTTCAAATTTAAGAAAAAACTTTTCAAATGTAAGGTTTCAATTTCAATCAGATGGTAACTTACCTTAGAAGTTTGTATCTCCTGCTTTGTAAATTTAATTTTACTCACACACAAGAGGCTCCTGCAAGGTCTAGCAAGCTATTAACAGAGCAGGGGATAAGAAATTCTAATTTAAATAGAATGTGCAATAAGGGAAGTTTAAACATTAAATCTCACTTTACAGGAAGTGTTTACGGAGGCTGTGTAAGTCACATGCAGGGAGGTGTGACTAAGGCTGCATAAACAAAGTTATTTAACCCACAAATGGCAGATAATTAAGCAGTGAGCCTACATGGGCATGATCTATACACCAAAACTAATTCATTAACCCCTTAAGGACACATGACATATGTGACATGTCATGATTCCCTTTTATTCCAGAAGTTTGGTCCTTAAGGGGTTAAGCTAAAGTTTTTTTGTGTGACTATAGTGTCCTGTAAAGTGAATATGCCCGATAGATGTAAGTTCAAACTGCCTGTTTGACAAAGCGACAGAAACTCTGCAGCAGAAACCCTTGCACTCAGAGTTTATTGCTGTGAAATTGCAAAGATAAATTCTAGTGAATGCACACTGCATTGCAAGGCATTGTGAATGGACACGAATCTGCTTACTGGCAGACTAAGAGATTAGCAGGTTTATTTACTAAAGCGAAATTTAAATTTAAAGTGAATTTCAAATTTAATGTCAGAGTTGCAGAACTGAAAGCACAGTTCACCCAGAGAATTATTCATCATAAAGGAACAAAGATGTATTCCTAACACTAAAGCGTCCCTTTGCCCACGTGGTACACCCCCCCCCCCCAGGCTCCTCCATCTATGAAAAGGTTAAAATACCTTTTCGTTAACGTACCTGATTCCAGCACTGATTTCCCTTGGTGTTCAGTCCAGTCCTCCTCCGTCATCAGGGGAGGCATAATGCGCATGAGCAGATTCTGAAAATAAAAAAAAAGGGACACTTATTAGCCAATGAGGCGAAGAAGAGCGAGCCGTGGCGAGACCTACGCAGTGCTTAAAATAAGGTGAGTAAAAACACGTTTTTACCGGGGGGGCAGGACACCTAAACAGCATTTTTGCAACTATAGTGTCAGGAATACTTATTTGTATAGTGTTCCTTTACGCAAATTAAAGGAACATTCTGGTCACCATAACAACTTACTCTACCTGAAAATGCTATGATGCTGGGAGGCCCCTGGGCGATCTCTTTCCTTTCAGGGGTTAAACAGCTCTCAAATGGATTAACTCCAAGGGCTGCCTCCACCGCCATATCTCCATGTCGTCCAGTGGTATTCAGCTACTGAAACAGAGTTTTAGGAAGTGCAGATTGCTGCAGCCACTGGTGACGCTGATTAGCCACAGCTGTTAGCTGATGCTCTAAGCCAATCATAAAATTTTTTACTTTTTGTATGAATGGGGAGACACTAATTGGCTTAGAATGCCAGCTGACCTCTCTGGCCAATCAGCGGCGCCACTACCCGGCGGCACTTCCTGAAACTCAGTTAATAAAACCAGTTAGTAAAAGTAAATATTTTTTTTCCCTGGAGAGATGAGAGTCTTTCAGTTTGTCATTCCTGCTCCAATCTTCTTTTCTTCTCCTTCTTCTGACACTGTCTTCTTTACTTCCTGGCTCCTTCTGCTCCTTTCTGCTTCTCCATCAGGTGTTATAGACTACATCTCCCCTGATGCTTTGTCAACATTATGGTGGCCCACCCCTGATTTATGCATTGCTACGGGGCCGGATTAACATAGGGGCTGATGGAGCTGCAGCTTCAGGCCCCGGCCCATGGAATAGGCCCATTGATTTAAAAAATAAATAAATAAAATAAAAATAAAAATTTATTTTGTAAATTTTTTTTGTTTCACACACTACTCTTAGGGATTCCACCTGGCTTTTATTTTATTGGCACAGCCAGTATTTGAGGCTGCCTGGCTGGTGCCAATATTGCAGTGATATTGGCAATACAAATGCTGGTATTTTTCTCAGTATAAACCAAGAGATTACTATGCTATACCAGCACTGGCCAGTAGGGGTCGCTGTGTGTGGAGAGAGGCAGGGATAGGAAGTTCCAGCATATCCCTCCCTGCCTATCTATACTCACTGATCTGCAGGGGTGCAGCTACAGAGAGTCCAGACAGCAACTCCCACCCTGCAGAGACAGCCTACAGCTCAGGGAAGTAAGGGATGGGGGGAAAGGCTGCAAGGAGACATGGGGACACTGAGACACTAAGGGACATTGGGAGACATTATGACACAGAAACATGGGGACACAGTGTCCCCATGTCTCCCAGCCAGTGTCCCTAGTCTCTCAGTGCCCCCTAGTCTCCCAGTGACCCCAGTCTGCCAGTGTCTCACTGCCCCCATGTCTCCTAGTGCCTCCATATCTCTCAGTGCCTCAAGTGTCACAATGTCCCCAAGCTAGTGTCCCTAGTGTCTGTGGCCCTGGTGTCTGTGTCCCCATGTCTCAATGTCCCCATGTCCCCCAGCCAGTGTCTCTAGTATCTTTGTCCCTGGTGTCTGTGTCCCCATGTCTTCAAGTGTCCCCTATTTTCCCATTGTCCCCATGTGTCCCAGCCAGAGTCCCCTAGTCTCCCAGTGTCACTGGTGTCTCAGTGTCCCTAGGTCTCCCCGTGTCCCCAGGTCTCCCCGTGTCCTAGTGACATGGGGACCCTGGGATACATGGGGACACAGGGAGACATAGGATCACTGGGAGGCCTGGGGATACGACATTGGGGGACACTGGGAGACATGGGGCACTGAGACACTGATACATAAGAATACTGAGACCTGGAGTAATCGACACATGGGGGCACTGAGTCATGAGGGCACTGGGAGACATGGGGGCACTGGGAGGAATCCATCTATACAGCAGATTTAAACTAAGTAGTTTTTTGGTGATTTTACAGCATTTTCTCTTATGTCACTCCTTGTGATTTACATCATGTGATGTCACCCACACATATTTAATTATGCAAATTAGTAAGGCCAGTATGTTTTTCCAAGAAAGGTGGCAACCCTAACTACTTTTCATATACTCTTACTTAAGTATGGAAACTTAAGTGGGATGTATGGGAACAAAACTTGTGTGGACTGGCTGACAATGAATATAGTTAAAGAAACACTATAGTCACCAGAACAACTACAGCTTATTGAATTTGTTCTGGTGAGTAGAATCATTACCTTCAGGCTTTTTGCTGTAAGCACAGTCTTTTCAGAGAAAATGCAGAGTTTACATTACAGCCTAGTGATAACTTCACTGGCCACTCCTTAGATGACTGTTAGAGATCCTTCCTAGGTCATGGCTGCCTAAAATGCATCCAAACATTCAGTGTCTCCTCCCTCTGCATGCAGACACTGAACTTTCCTCATAGAGATTCATTAAATTAATCTATATAAGGAGATGCTGATTGGCCAGGGCTGTGTTTGAATCATGCTGGCTCTGACCCTGATCTGCCTCTTTGTCAGTCTCAGCCAATCCTATGGGAAGCACTGTGATTGGATCAGGCCACCACTTCTAATGATGTCAGCAGACTGCTTGTTTTTATGAGTCTAACAGCATGCAGAGTTACAGCTTCAGGCTTGAATATAGTAGGATTTTGCTATATTTATGGAGGCATGAGAGGCCCATGGGGGGCTAGATGGTGGTGTTAAAGGACCACTATAGTGCCAGGAAAACATACTCGTTTTCCTGGCACTATAGTGCCCTGAGGGTGGGGGCACCCCCTCCCGCCCGGCTCTGGAAGGGGGAAAGCTTACCTTTTTCCAGTGCTGGGCAGGGAGCTCTCCTCTCCGCCTCCGATCCGCCCCTTCGGCTGAATGCGCACGCGCGGCAAGAGCTGCGCGCGCATTCAGTCGGTCGCATAGGAAAGCATTATCAATGCTTTCCTATGGACGCTGGTGTGCTCTCACTGTGAAAATCACAGTGAGAAGCACGCAAGCGCCTCTAGCGGCTGTCAATGAGACAGCCGCTAGAGGCTTTGGGGGAAGGCTTAACCCATTGATAAACATAGCAGTTTCTCTGAAACTGCTATGTTTATAAAAGAATGGGTTAAGCCTAGCTGGACCTGGCACCCAGACCACTTCATTAAGCTGAAGTGGTCTGGGTGCCTAGAGTGGTCCTTTAACACTATAGGGTCATGAATTCATGTTTGTGTTCCTGACCCTATAGCTATCCTTTAAGGTAATGCTGACTTTGGTCTCTCTAACACTGTGGCATGTTCCCTTTCTTCTACACTCACTACATATAGCTTTTCTCTGTCCCAGAACATATACCAGGAGCTTCTGCCTGCTAGTAAGAAGGTAAGGAGACAAGTGGACCAGCGAGTGCTAGGGGACAGTCCTTAGAAAGCGTTGAGCGAGTGCATCATTAGATGCATTTATGCCAAGCTCAGGGTGCTGTCTGCATAGTATGCCCTTAGTTGGCCAGCTGCATGATTGGCAGGCAGCCTGACATGCATTCATACCAGGCTGGCCTTCTAATTCTTTGAGCAGACATGTCCTCTTTTTGGGCATGTTCGCCCCTTTTGGCAGGTTACGTGATTTGTGTCAGTGGCACACCCTTTTACCATGCCCATTGACTTCCTGCTTGACTGGACACTGCTGTTAGGGGTTATGGATTTACTTGAAAGATGAAAACATAAATTAGAGAGAGATTAGCCTAGGGTATGTGTTTTCTTATAGCTGCTGTTTTCTTTCTCTCCAGCACCATCTCCATCAGATACATGACGCTTGGGAGTGTTTTACTGTTTTTGGTCGATATGATTCTGTAATTAGGCCCGTCATAATTGTCAGCACCAGGCCCACTGGGCTCTTAATCTGGCCCTGCATTGCTATGCATTGTAAACACCATAAATATTAAACATAGCCATTTGGCAGTCTGGGCAGGGGGCAGTAAGCAAATTACTTATTTAATTCAACCTCCCTACCTTCCATACAAGAGGTGAAGAAAGGGAAGGCAAAAGAAACGGTTATTCTATGTGGACCACTGATATGTTTATAAAGAAAAATCGGATAAAGTCTCATAAAAGGGCCCCCACAGTATTTTCTCAACTGGTGGTTTCTTGTTGCATCTATCTATCACTGTTAATTTATGCACACCAATCATTTCATTAATGGTTTTGTGAACACAGCTACAGGCATGAAAGTCTTTGAACAAATGCATCAGTGATTAAAATACATAAATGCAGAATTAATTAAGATTAATTAAAAAAAAAAAAAAAACACAACAGATGTTGTGCATTGCCCCAGACAGGCAGACTGGCAGAATGTAGACTTGCTAAAGGTGAATGTATAATATCACTGCTAAGGTTGGCATTCTGGAACTTCCATTTATTTTAGAATTATTTTTTTATTCACCTCTCGTTGCAGTCTCATTCACCTTTCCTCGGAACACAAAATCCAACATATATAACGTTGTCTATGGCAATGCATTTGCAATTGCAGGTACAAATCATGGCGGCACACCAAACGATCATTGTTGGTGATGCTTTTGTGGCACTTTCTCCAAAATCAGATTCAATTTAAGCTTTGTAGGATGTAGGTTAGTAAGGGCAATGTAGTTAGTAAGGGTAACATAGTTATTTAAGCACTAGAAACGTATTGAGCAATTAAATTAGATTTACTAATCTGCCGATGACAGACATAAACATCCCCACCTTCTGTTCTCCAACAATCAATTATCTTTGCTGTTAATCAAACTAACAGCTGCCTGTCAGTCTTATCCCAGTTAAATAATCCATCACTTTTGATCTAGAATATTTGTTTTTAAATAAATGCAATTACTTCTTTTCTAAACAGAAAGATCCTAAATCCTAAGCGTGCAGATTAAACTCAACAAATAACGATTAAAGTCAAACTTCACTATTAAGCCCCTGATTCCAAAGAACATCTAAAGGGATACTCTAGGCATCAAAGCAACTTTAGCTTAATTAAGTGGTTTTGGTGTAGAGATCATGCACCATGCAGTCTGACTGCTCAATTCTCTACTGTTTAGGGGTTACATTACTTTTATTTCTGTTTATGCAGCCCTATCTGTACCTCCCCTGCTGTGACTGACATAGCCAAAATGGAAAAAACAAACATTGCTAAGTTGATGTTACAGCACAATGTGTTTAATTTAGAGGTTATTATCTCCTACTCTATTAATTGAACTTTGATCAAACACAGCAGGGCTCTTCAGGCTCTAGTATGCATTTAACAGAAAGAAATAAGAAATTATAAATAAATAAACACACTATGTGAGAAAGGAAGTTTAACATTTAGACTCTTCTTAATGGAGTGTGTAGGGAGGCTGTATGAGTAAAATCCATGTGAGGTGTGACTAGGATTGCATAAACAAAGTAATTTAACTCCTAACAGCGAATTAAGCTGTGAGACTGAAGGGTCATGATCTATACACCAAAACCACTTCATTAGCCTTGTTATTTTGGTGCTTAGAGTCCCTTTAAATCTTCGAGGCTCAACCTATTCCTCCCTCATTATCATGTTCCATGACATCCAAGTCCCAGTTCTTAAAAAGGGGAGAGTTTAGAATTTGGATTCCTTATCCTTCAAAGGTGCAACTCTGTTCATTCTGTAAAAGGCTGAATAAATGACTGCGTCACTGGGTATTTGATAGGACAACATACATTTGAAAGGTGTTCTGTATTGAAATCACAATCTGTTCTTGTGTGTGTGTATTACAATCAATGTGTAAAGGAAGACAGTCTTGTCGTTTGTGCCCATTTTGAATGTTTTGGCCAAATATTTACATTTACCTGGTCAGTTTTATTCAATTTCAATTTTCACTCGCAGGCTCATTTTCTAAACCAGAGATCATCAGAGAAGGTATATGTAAAGTTTCCACAAACTTTAAAATACCCTTTTTTCACTACCTCTCTCTCATCAATGTAAATTGATGCACATTATTAAAGGATAATGATGCCATCTTGGGGTTCAGATTTTTATCAGACATTCATAATCCGCTTGACGTTCTGTCTCCTTGTCCAGTGCCTCCAGAGTCTCTTAATGGCATCATTTTCTCATAAAAAAAAATATGAAAATAAAGAACTACTCTCTGCACACTGTCTTTAAACCACTGTGCAATCTAAGAACAAGCTGGAATGTTTGGGCTGAGATTTTGATCAATTCTTAATTATAGGCGCTACCCATGTATTTGAGTATGGCTGGTGAAAACATTTTAGTTTTTGACTCCTTTGTCTTCCTTCTCCCCTCAATTCTATCTCTCATCCATTCTTCCCCATGTTTGTCTTTTATTCCCTCCTTCACTGTCAGGATTACAGAATGATCCAGCACGTAGAATTGTGTAACACAGAGGACTAATAGGTAACATATACCGGACCTTAGAATGGCCGGACTAAAGTACCAAAGAATAGTCAGGAATAGCCAAGGTCAAGGGATACAGAAAGAGACACAACGATAAGGAAAAGCCAGGAGTCAGGGATGCCAGAAAACAGGGAAGTCAAAAACAATGCCAAAGTCAAATAACCAGAATTGAGAAATTCTCGGAAGATACACATGCTAGTGGGTAGTATCTATCTTGTCCCAGACAGCCACATGAAATAACACATTCAACACATTTTTCTATCTTTGTACACGGACCCTCCACCCATTTAACAGACAACATCCAAGGCATGTTGGACTGTAATTGTGTGTGCTTTATTAAACATTTGTTTGGGATGATCTCGTTAAAATACAAAGAGCTCTAAAATACAAGTTTGCTTTTCCATCACTGGGGTCCAGGGAGAGTTTCTGGTGTCCTTCCACTTTTATCACCACCCGTTGCTTGTCCTAGTGAGAAAAGGAAAGTGTTACATTATAAGTAAACATTTACCTGTCCACAAGGCAAAGGCTGGTTATTATAAACAATATATTGGAGATATGGCTCCTTTGAGACAATGAGTTGGCAACATATTGCTCCCAATTCTTTTGACTAGTTGTATGGTTCTGAATATCACAACCTAAAGTTCTCCTTTTAATCCATTCAATACCATAAACAGTGATGTTTTAAAAAAAGTTTATCGTAGCTTTTTGGCTTGAGATCTAGGTGATGGACAGTGATCAAGAACTTAGCCATTTTCTAAAATTAGAATATGTGTAGAGGAGTCATTAACAGACTGGAGCAATTTAAATGGAGTCCAAGAGAAATGGGATTATTTAAAAGTTACACTATTGAAGGCAACAGAAAATTGCATTAGGCTTGTCAGTAAAAGCAAAAAATTAAAGAAACCACTGTGGTACTCCGCAGATGTGGCCAAAATAGTTAAAAACAAAACGTTAGCATTTAGGAATTATAAAAAAACCCAGAGTGAGGAAGACAAAATGATCTATAAGATTAGGCAGAAAGATGCTAAGCAAGTTATAAGAGCTTCCAAATCACACACAGAAGAGAAAATAGAACAGTCAGTAAAAAAGGGGGACAAAACATTTTTTAGATACATAAATGAGAAAAGAAAGGTAAAACAAGGATTAGTTAGATTAAAAACAAAAGAAGGAAGGTATGTAAAAGAGGATAAAGGTCTAGCTGACTGCCTCAATGAATATTTTTGTTCTGTATTTACAGATGAAAATGAATGAAAAGGACCTCAGTTGAGAAAAAGGATAAATGAGTCATTTATTACACGTGAGTTTACAGAGGAAGAGGTTATATTTCAATTGTCAAAAGTAAAGACAAATAAGTCAATGGGACCTGATGGAATACACCCAAAGCTATTAAAAGAGCTTAGTGGTGTACTAGCAAAACCATTAACAGATTTATTTAACCAATCATTGTTAACAGGAGTAGTCCCAGAAGATTGGAAGTTAGCGAATGTTGTGCCCATTTACAAGAAAGGTAATAGGGAGGAGTCGGGCAACTATAGGCCAGTAAGCCTTACTTCAGTAGTGGGGAAAGTGATGGAAACCATGTTAAAGGATAGGATTGTTGAACATCTAAAAACACATGGATTTCAAGATCAGAGACAACATGGATTTACTTCAGGGAGATCATGCCAAACTAATCTTATTGATTTTTTTGATTGGGTAACTAAAATTATAGATCAGGGTGGTGCAGTAGACATTGCTTACCTAGATTTCAGTAAGGCTTTTGACACTGTTGCACATAGAAGGCTTATCAATAAACTGCAATCTTTAAGTTTGGATTCCAATATTGTTGAATGGGTAAGGCAGTGGCTGAGTGACAGGCAACAGAGGGTTGTAGTTAATGGAATATATTCGAAGCTTGGACTTGTCACCGGTGGGGTATCTCAGGGATCTGTACTTGGAGCCATTCTCTTTAATATTTTTATTAGTGATATTGCAGAAGGTCTTGATGGTAAGGTATGTCTTTTTGCTGATGATACTAAGATGTGTAACAGGGTTGATGTTCCAGGAGGGATAAGCCAAATGGCAAATGATTTAGGTAAACTAGAAAAATGGTCAGAATTGTGGCAACTGACATTTAATGTGGATAAGTGCAAGATAATGCATCTTGGATGTAAAAACCCAAGGGCAGAGTACAGAATATTTGATAGAGTCCTAACCTCAACATATGAGGAAAGGGATTTAGGGGTGATTATTTCTGATGACTTAAAGGTAGGCAGACAATGTAATAGAGCAGCAGGAAATGCTAGCAGAATGCTTGGTTGTATAGGGAGAGGTATTAGCAGTAGAAAGAGGGAAGTGCTCATGCCATTGTACAGAACACTGTACATGCCGTTGAGACCTCACTTGGAGTATTGTACACAGTACTGGAGACCGTATCTTCAGAAGGATATTGATACCTTAGAGAGGGTTCAGAGAAGGGCTACTAAACTGGTTCATGGATTGCAGGATAAAACTTACCAGGAAGGGTTAAAGGATCTTAACATGTATAGCTTGGAATAAAGACGAGACGGGGGGATATGATAGAAACATTTAAATATAAAAAGGGTATCAACACAGTAAAGGAGGAGACTATATTTAAAAGAAGAAAAACTACCACAACAAGAGGACATTGTCTTAAATTAAAGGGACAAAGGTTTAAAAATAATATCAGGAAGTATTACTTTACTGAGAGGGTAGTGGATGCATGGAATAGCCCTCCAGCTGAAGTGGTAGAGGTTAACACAGTAAAGGAGTTTAAGCATGCGTGGGATAGGCATAAGGCTATCCTAACTATAAGATAAGGCTAGGGACTAATGAAAGTATTTAGAAAATTGGGCAGACTAGATGGGCCGAATGATTCTTATCTGCCGTCACATTCTATGTTTCTATGTTTCTATCTCTATATCTTCATCAAATCTCATGAAGCTCTTACAGAACATCAGAGACAAGTCCACGTTGAAACATTCTCATTGTATTGTCTGTCATGTGCAGCATGCATGATTCAACAACATGCAGAAATGTTGTTAAGAAATTTGATGTGTGTAGTGCATGCATGAAATGATTGCTTAGTGGGGATGGCATGGCTAATTACAGAACTGGAAGGGTTAATTTGCTTGTGTTTAGCTAGAAGAATCAGACATCTGTTGGCATGGCAGGAAAAGGGTTATATATTAGGTCTCTTCCTGCTTAGTTGGCACCCCTTAGTGGCCAGGTTTGCAAATCTCACCCAAAGGATTTAAAAAAAAAATTAATTCTCAGACTTATTGGCTAGTCACATTTTGGCTGTTTTTGCTCTGAACTTTTGATATGCTAATTGACAATTAGAACTCAGAAAACTATTTTCTGCTTAGAGTCATAACCAAAAAACAATAATAATAACCCAGAGGTAATTCATCTTGCCTCCTCTTATACGCAGGGCTGCCATCAGAAATGTTGGGGCCCTTGACACAGCTCAAGGTCTGGGCCCCCGTTTGCCTGCACCCGAGTCCGCCCAAAGTGCTGCCCCCCCGAATCCGCCCACAGGGATGCAGTGTCTGCAGGGCCGGTGCAAGGATTTTTGCCGCCCTAGGCAAAAGTAAAGTTTGCCGCCCCCCCATGTGACATCACAATGCCCCACCCATATGATCTGCCATGTTAACTAACACCAGTGCTGCAGTGCCGCCGTGTTTACATTAAAAGGCCTGCAGGGACAGGCTATAGACACCAGAACCACTACATTAAGCTGAAGTGGTTCTGGGGACTATAGTGTTTCTTTAATGTGAGGTAAATTAGAGCTTAGTGCCACGAATAATATACTAGATTGCCTACTTACAACCAGATGAGGATGATGATGGGCTCTAGCTGCCGTCTGGCTCCACTGGTCTGGTGTACAACAGGCTCTCTGGAGGCGGTTTGTAACTGTGGTCACAAAAATCACTGTTCTGGGAGAACGGGAAGCAGCTCCATTTTTTTGAGGGCCCTTTACACAGCTCAAGGTCTGGGTCCCAGGGTCCACCTTCATGTTCCACCAATGAGTTTGTTCACAGGGAGTGGAGTGTGTGTGTGGGGGATGTCCTGATGTGTGTAAGGAATGCATTGTGTGAATCTGTGTTTGTATGTGTAAGGGCTGCAAGATGAATTTGTGTATGTATGGGATGCAGTGTGTGCGTCTGTAAGGGATGCATTGAGTGTGTGTAAGGGGTGCATTGTGTGTTGCTGTGTGTAAGGGATGCATTGCTTGTGTACGTGTGTCTGTGTGTAATGCATTGTGTGTTTTTCTGTGTGCAAGGGGTGCATTGTGTGTGATGGATGTCAATGTCTTCCCCTCCCCCCGTCAATTTCCTTCCCCGACAAAAGGCATAAAGTCTATGGAATGCAAATTAACTATAAGGAGTCAAATCTAATTTGGACGAGTTGCCAATTTTCCAAACTGGTACTCCAATGGGAAATAAAAATATCCAATTGCTACCAGAGTGAGTAACTAGGGTTCTCCTTTTTATTTTTAACTGTTTGTTGGTCAAAATGTTTTGTCTATCATCTACCTTTAATGTATTCACTGGACTATTTTTGTTCTGCCTTCGTCTAATAAAGAATAACGTTACCTAAAGATACATTCTTGACAGTATTTTTGGATTGAATAAATATTTTTGCTAGCTTTTAACCCCAAATCCACACACAAATGTTAAGGACACAGTTTCAGAAATAAAAGGGAGTCATGACGGTATATTTCCGACATGTGTCCTTAAGGGATTAATCTAATTTGCTCGGAGGAACAAAAGCACCCCTTTTATAAATCGCCTTGGTGATGACAGCTTTTGATACTAGAGTTACGTGTGGGTGCTGTTAAAGAGATTTTTCATCTTTATTCTAGGTCAGAGCAGACAAATAGCAATTTTTAACTCTTTCACATCTAGCACCAAGCTATGGTCATGCTTGGAGTAGTGCGGCCTGTGGCAGTCTATTTGACGGAAGAGATCGGATTTTTAAAACCGAATTTTAAAACACGGGAGTTGGATTGGGATATAGTGCAAGAGGACAAATGGATAGCGGTAATGGCTACAACGTACAGGGATATGATAACAGAGGGTTAGAAGGCCATTAACAGATTTATTACAGATTTCAGGATTATAGAAATACGACAGAGAATAAGACAGAGCCCTGGGCTGGATTGGAGAGGGATTTAAATAGACACAGAGACTAGATAAAAGTGTAAGACAATAGATATTTTATAAGAGCCATTGGGATATAAATATCTAGAACAACAGGTGTTGTAGAACGATGGATAGATTGTAGGACAGAATTGCCAAGGTTGAAATGATGGAAGAATATAATGACTGAAAAAAGACTAGATGTATATTTATAAATTATAGGTCTGTTTGATGGCTTTAATTGGGGTAGATATAATGGTGGAGGTTGGAATTATCAAGATATCTAATTTTACAAAATGTGATGGTAAGAGATTGCACGACAAATCCATGATGTTAACCACAGGGATGATGTCACACACACATTGGTGATGAACAAATGATGTCAGACATAAAAGGCATTTTTGATTTTACTTACGCTCAACTTTCACAAGCTGTGGTTGTTTTCTATCCCAAAATCATCCCATCTTTTTCCAAACCTACAAACAAGCATGCACACGTGTGTTAGAAGATATGGCTCGGAAATATTTCTTTCCACGTTTACCCCGATTTCAACGCAAGTAATGCCATAATAATTTATATATTGCAGCCTTTGTAAATAAAACGTACCCTGCTTATTTAGTACTTTATTGTTATTATTACAGCAGGGCTGTACATGGCTACAATTGGTAATGATAATTCTTTATTTATTTATTTATTTATTTATTATTAAATCCCCCAAATATATCAAGAATTCTGACCTTGGACGGGTGACGAAGGTTATATACTGCCACAGATCGGCATAATACTTGTTAAGTTGCTCCTGGGAGGCATTGTCTCCTGGGTGTTGGGGCTCACTCGGGGCTGTTGAACAAGCCCAGCTCAGAGCAAGGAGGATGAAAAGGACAGCTGACAAGTGGCTGAGAATTGAGGTCATCTGCAATACAAGGAGGAAGGGTTAAAGATGAACATTTGCCCACTAGGTAGACTTGTGGCTGTTGCCAGTTCCTTGCTATCTGAAATGATCAGCCATGTGCTCTAACCTTGTACAAATTCTTCCCATTCAACTTAACCCTTTACTGCAAAATACACACAGTCCAGTGAATTTTACACCATGACAGGAGGCTTTGTATTTTGCATAATCTCTCTTTACTAGCTCCATACAGCAGTAAAGAAACACATAGAAAAAAGAACCAATCACAAGAGAGCAGGATGTACATACGGCAATGTGACCTCATCATTTCCTCTTTCTTTGCTGCTCCATCAAGCAGACAGGTCAGAGTATTACTCTTCTCCATTACTTTATGTTTCTATTGCCTCTTTGAGGTTGTTTCTGAATTATATTTTTATATACTTTGCTGTATGTTCTTGCTGTGCTCCTATACTATGTGCAGCTGTGTTTTTTCTATGTTATTTCACAGATATTATGTAGATTTAACGTTATACTTATTTCTTAACCTTTAGCTGTGATTTATATCACTTGTAATTTATAGTTTTATAGGCATTTCATCCTTTGTTTTGATAGTATTATATTTACTTTATATATGTATATTTAATAGATGTCATATGTATTTTATTACATGGATTTCATATGTGTCAGGTGTAAACTTTATTATTGATTTAATGGTTTTATGTATAGTTATGATAGATATACTTTATTCCATATGTATGACAATTTTTCTGGCAATTTTCCTGGCCTTCTATACTTGGGGCATCGGGGGACCCTCTTTCCCCGCTTTCCTCCTTCTCCACAGGGCCTCATAGGTTTTCTGGGTTTTGCTGGGGCTTAATCCCTTCCCCCTCACGGTTCCTGTCGCCTCCTGCCGTCTCCCGGGCATTAACCCCTTCCTCCGGCCTATCGGTTCATCCCCTTCCTCCTGCCTATCCCATGGTATGCCCGCTGGGGCAATTTGACAACACTATGTGACAGATACAGAATAACCTGCTGGGGTTATTACACCTTATCAGCTGGGGTCCACTGACATTATTTACACCACAACAGATACCCCACAGGGGTACCCCATATCACACACCCTGCTGGGGTTGTTTTGGTATTTTGAGACAATAAATTGCACACAATAAAGTGCACAATACTACACCCTGCTGGGATCTGCATGGTGCATTGCACACAATGAAACGGATTGTGCTCTCATCCAGTCTGTTTATTTGGCCGCAACCCACGCTTGACGGGTCCATACCCCTCGCACCTGAGGTGATCTCTGACTAGGTGTAAGCCAATCTATTTGGCAAAAAAGGGGACAGAGTCAGAAGCCTCAGCGCAGAATATCCCCCATGGTGGGGCAATAATTATTGGAGGAGCGGTAGGACAGTCTCTATAAGGCTGATGGCCAGCACTGAAGGGCTCAAACCTTGTGCAACCGGGGTAAGCCCCTACACACTGCTGCTTCTACTCCTACCCCTCTCATCAGCGAACTCGAGGATTGAAAATCCGAACTTCGGACCTGGGACCGGCACTTACGGGTTCAGACTCTGTGCTCTTGGGGTGAGACCCCTACGATAGGCAAATCACACTACCCAACAGAGGGAAGTCTTACGGCAACAGCCTCTACCTACAGCTGAAGGAATACCTCCATTGGCAATGAATCATAATACGGTACGGCTTTATGCCCTGTTCCTATTCTGCGACCTGCAGTTAAAGGCCCACGCCCTATGCACCGGGCCCGGCCAGACGTGCACTGCACTAAAATGCCGAACAGAGGCATGCGGTTACAACTGCTGAACAGGAGTTACGAGCCGCCTACTTAAGATATATATTCCCCTTGAAGTGAATTTAATAATGGAAGAGGTGACTGACACTCTCTATCAGGGCGATGGCCAGCACTTAAGGGTTCATACCCTGTGCACCGGGGTGAGCCCCCACTATACGTGCTGCACGGTACTGCTGAGCTGCTATGTACTGGGTGAGCCCCAGTCTGTTTTATTTGGCCATGATTCGGAATACGACCCGCAAGGGTTTCCGTAAACACTGCCTACTGTCGTAGTAGACTGATCTGTTTGCCCTGCATCCTGTGCCTGAATACTGATTTGTGCCTTACACAGGGGTATCCTTTACTACGATAACCCAACTTGCTTTGCCGCCTCTTGCTTAGAATGTCCAAATCCGCTGACGGACGAACAAACCCATGCCCTTCCACCCGGTCAGAATGGCTCAGAAGACTATAGTGATCAACGGAGGAGGTCTCTCAGGATTCACGACCTTACCATGGGCGATGCTGGATGTCGCCACACATCGTCTGGGAACGGGCATACAATTTGGGTATACGGACTCAAAAACTGTTTATGCTCCTCGCAGAAAAACCCAATGTTCACCTCTCCCATGGGATGCGCATAGCAGCACTCCTCCGCACTGACGGATGGTTGGCGGAACGGGGCGCCAAGATAGTCGGAACCCCAGGCACAAGGCACAACAGTTCCGAAGGGAACTTATTAGACAGGCATGGGTCCCACAGCTTTCATAAGGGCCCAAACCCCTAGGTGGGAGGTGTTATGCGATTACCTTTACAAGGGATTCTTTGGAACTAGTTGGCAACAGAGCCAGTCGTCGACCACTTTGGGACATCTGACCCGAGACCCGCTACCGCTAGCTCTATTACCCATATAGAGCGAGAGTCAACCAATGGCGCTCCAGATAAGCGGACCGAGAACACGGTACACACAGATACCATCAATATACCTCCTACTACATCCACAGGGGATTTCACCACATCTTGGTGAAAGGCACTCAATCCTGGGGAAGACCACTTTCACGTAGTCAACCAACTTGCGTTCAGGACCTAGACACATCAGGACGGTCTTCTTCCTTTCCGCTCGGTCACCTTACCCAGGCTTCAGGAGACATCCTCTCCTTCCCGACACAGTAACTCGGAGCCTGGTGGGCCCTGATGAAATACCGAAAGAAGTAATGAATACAGGCGGGGAAGACGAGACTCTCTCTTCCGAGAGAACCTCATTCAGATCAATCCAGGGAACTGAAAACTCGTCAACACCCACGTTCATCCGAGAACCGGCTGGAACTTCCAGACTTGTAGAAGACTATTCGTTCAGAGGATTTGTAGACTGTTCCACACCTTGGGAATATTCGCACGACTCTCTGCGGCACTACCGCGACCCTGTACGTTGTATACCTAGACTGGTCCTATACTTCACAATACATGGATTGATAAAGAAATACTAGATTGGCTGCACCCTACTGCAGGTGACCACAGATTAAGCAGTCAAGTTTCACATCCACCGGGATGGACCAACTCACTTTTATCAGACAACATGTAGGCTCCTTCGTTCCCTGTCTTCTTCACAGAAGATCAACCTGTCTCCCAGGGGAGACACACTTCATAGGGGCCGACTGATTTGGATGTTACCACTCGTCACAGTACAAGGAGAGGCACGATGGTGATCGCGCTCTGTCCGATTGGACCTCCCCGAGGGAACATGCTTACAAGGTCTACAGTAATTCTCTGGCAGGTGAGGATCTTCTCCTGCTACATTCATGACCGACAATTTCTCACGGAGCCGTAGGGTACTCACATCTTCTATCCCGGGAGGGTTTGCTACCTGGGGACCTGGACTTGGGGGTTTCTCGGCAGGTCGGCGGACGATCGCAGGCTGCTGGGGACCTCTTGGGAATCTGGGAACCCAGGGATGCGATGATCCTACCCCTACATCTGGACATTCCCAGCCTGTCTGGTTTGGTCCTGCATCGTGATTCTTTATTGGAGGATGAAGACGGAACTACAGCCCGTATCACTACCTGAGGACGCACAAGAGACTAGGATCCTCTAGGATACCAACTACCCAATGACATCCCCCTCCAGCTTATGGGCTGTGGAGGTCGTTCTCCTTCCACTCTACAGGACTAGACATCCTGCTGACAGACGGTCAGACTTGGTCTTGTATAATTTCCCGTTTGATAGCGTATACGTGGGCGCTCAACGGGGAAGACCTCCCCACAACGCGGAATACTGGGTCTCTCGGCACACCATAGGACTCTTATTTAGTTCTATACTTTTTTCTCAGAGTTAAAAATGCAAAATACGAAGCCTCCTGTCATGTGGTAAAATTGAAGATTATCTTCATCTTCATTAGAGTTCTTATTACAATTACTCAGTTATCAGATTATAGTTACTATATTCTCCAATGGGATGTTATGTGGTACGTTAATTGGAGTTACATGTTCGTGACTATGTCTAAACCTGTCACACATTCTCTTTTCAGTATGATTCGACTCTGAAGACAATTGGCAGTTCACGTGAAACTATTGGAGATTTTATCCTTCGGATTTGACTCAACCCTGAACTCTTTTCGTTGTTCATATAGAACCCTTTGGAAGTTTGCTCCTTCGCACATGGGAACTCAGAGTTATTATTAGTTTTATTGTTTACTATATATTTACTTCTGCTTGTTGTCGCTTTCTGAAAGAGGAAATGATGAGGTCACGTTGCCTTATGTACATCCTGCCCTTCTGTGATTGGTTCTTTTTTTCTATGTGTTTTTTTAGGCTGTATGGAGTTATTAAAGAGAGATATGCAAAATACTCGCCTCCTGTCATTATTAAAATTAAGATTATTAGTACACTAAAGCTAGCATAATCTTTAATTATCATTATTATTATTTTGCTAACTCAGATTAATTCCAATGTGCAGACATAGAGCAGAATATAATTATAAATACACGAGGAGATCTATACATTGATTGACACATTTTTTAATAATACCAACACCCCAGGGCGTACTTAAAAATCTACTAAAAACCAAATCAATTGTTTTTGGTTTAATACTTTATGATATAGTTTATGATTAAAGGAACACGCCAGACACATAAAATCCATGAGCTTGCTGAAGTGTGAAGAGTGTGTCCTCCTTTTTCATAAGTTTATAAAAGTGCAGATTTTAATAGTAATTGGCACTTTTATAAATTAACCTTGTTACACCCCCTCAGCTGTCAATCAGACAACAGGTCATGTTACTTCCTGGTTTGGTTTGCTCAGTGGAACTAAACTCAAGAGGCAGCAACTGCCCAGAGTATCTGCCTTGCAAAGACTTCTAATTGAGCTACATTGGGAGGTTTGTAAGTGAACAGCCACAGAATGTCTGGGCTAGGGAAGAGACAGAGTTATTCACTCAAGTGAGAAATGTTGAGAATTCAAAGTGAATTTAAATTGTAAGGCCAAAATAGCCAGACTGAGAGCATACCTAACTTGGAGAATTATTCCAGTTTGGCTACTTTGGCCTTACATTTGAAATACCAGACAATTCTCAATTTAGTGAAAAACCCTGTGTAACTTCAATAGGGATAGTATTAACATCCATGGAACTTATAGAGACCTGCTGATTTTTTTTAGAAACTCTAAGTATAACAAACTCTAAATAATACAGGTTTATGGATTATTTTATTTTACATATCCGATTAATAAATTACGATATCTTGAGACAAAATCTAAATAAACTAACAAAAAAAACCTACGAGTAGCTAGTGTTCCATCTAAAGATGTTTTTAACTAACTGTCCTCCCAAAAAGTTAATAAAGTTATTTATTATAACTACTACTTGAAACATGCACAAAACAAGAGGTATTCAACACAAATGCCTACATCATATTTATAATAATTACTATTTACTATTTTTAAATATTAATACAATTATTATTTTTTCATAATTTCTACAAAATATTATTTGTAATATTTTGTCCCATAATTATCCCTATAGTTGTTATTATTACGATAATTAATTTTATTGTTATTAACATTTATATAGGGTCAATATATTCCCCTGCGCTTTACACATTTATAAAGATTGCTTTTTAAATGATTTTAGATTTGCACCTCTCGCAAAGAATGCTTTAATCCTTTCTACTGATGAAGATATATAAGTGAATTTCTAATCGCTTGTCTGCCCATTATATTAAAAGTTTAGATGCTAGAAAAATAATGATTAACTTTGTTGTGTATTTTTGAATGTATTAACCCTCATTTAAGATTTTAGCACATTCTCTCTTGAAAATATTCAAACTGGTTTAAACTGTGTTTATATCTGATTGTCAAACTCTCCTGCCTTCAATACTTAATGCATGTCGAAAATCAATGTCTATTTTTCAGTAAAGTATTTTCAATGTCTATTTTGTGAAAAGAAAAATAAGCTGAAATATGTCCAGTCTTCTACAAGACAATATTAAATTTCCCATAGTTTGCGAAATACTGTGTACGCAAACAATGCAGCCTTTTCTACAGTCTATTCCTATCAAAAAAGATTTACCTCTGATCTATTTTCATTTTGAGGTCTTATGTTTAGCTCATTGTCTCAAAGCATACCATTCATTTTATTCAGTAGAAAATATGGTTAAAGGAATACTGGTAACACCATAACCACTACTGTGCTCTGTAGTTGTTGTGGTGCGAGGAGTTGTCCCCTAGCTCTCCGCTACTCTCTGTTCCAAGCATTGCCTAGCTTCTGGCTCTCAATACCAGAAGAGAAGAGGCAGGTGCCAGTACCTGGCAGACACCAGATAAAAAAATTCAAACTGTTAGCAAACGGTCTGACTCCTTTCGTTGGAGGGCTCCAGGGTACTCCTGGCACCATAATCACTACAGTGCACTGTCATGCTTATGGTACTTGGAGTGTTCTATTAAGAAAACATTTCCTCTCCTCCCCTTACTTTCTCCATATACATAATTTTCCTTAACATTATGTAGTTTGATTACATTGTCATGCAGTGTTGTCCCCCGGACCACCTTCAGGCGTATTTGGGAACTCTGATAGTTCTGGAATCCCAGGTTGAATAGACCTTTCCGCTATGTTAACTCTTTATTTTCCCATTCTACAAGTGTTTATTTTCTAGGGCGAATTTGATTATGGAATATTTCAACTTAAATTCTTCCAAAATCAAAAAACACGGTGCATACGTTAAAAAACAATTCCTGATCTATATTTTTATTGTCATACAGTGCCGTGATTTATAATAATTAATTTTGACCATGGCCATCTTCACCTGTTGTATCTGTCAATATTATTTTGTCTGTTAATAGCTTGCCTTTATACGTCCGCACTGTAAAATGGTAAAGCTCGACAGATTACGTTGGCGCTATAAAAAGGATTATACTAATGATAATAGTCATATGTAAATTCTCAGTATCAAATTTTATTTTCAGTAGGAATTAGAACAGTAAAAATAATAATAAATAATAATTGGGTGAACTGTGTTTATGACTGGGGACTTTTTAAGTAATAGTACCGATAATAATATGCTAACATTGAATTAATTTGAACTATTTTCTTAATTGTAAAAAAACTCAGGTTTTTGTTTTACCTGCCAATTCGAGGTATTCATTGCAAGGAAAAATATATAAATAGAAATAAAAGTGTTAAAAAAAAAATGTTTTCCCGTGTCACAAATTCTTAGTTCTAAGCATCTGTCCTGTCACTTTGTAAGAAAAATGTCATGTTAAATATCCTGGCGTGAGTATTTTCAAGGTCTTACCTACTCAGCTACGGTACCACGAAGCAGGTGGTATCTTTCCATGTGATTAATGAATGCAACACTTACCTTGGCGAGTGCACGTCTGGTGGCGTCTGGTTGACCCTGGAAAAAATACGTAGATTTTATCTTTGTTCTAGACTCCTCCCCGCAGTTTCGTAGCTGCTTAGTCACTTTGTCAAGCCCCCCCTTTCTTTATTCCATGTTAACATGTCACCTTTCCTACTCAGTACCTGGCCATTACCAACACCGCGTTGACATAAACTGGACGTTCACACATGATGGAGCCATTAAACAGATTGAAATATGGGAACATTTCTTTTTTTTAAACAATGTTAAATTGAAAAATAAGTCAAGACTAGAGTAGGGAAAATTATATATCTCCAACTATTTGGCCATATATTCTCTGCTTGTAAAGCCTTCTGCTATACTTTATTATTTTTTAAGTATAATATTTATTAAGGTGTGTACATACAGCAAATGTTGGCATACAATCCAATGTTTCATTTTCAGAACAATTATGCTAAATTAGTTGTATAAGGGTGTGTGGCTAATGAAGGCCTCAATTGATAAGCTTTAGAAATGATCCAATACTGTTTGAAAACATTCTATAGACCTTAATATTGACTTCTGTATATAATTAATTTAGAAACTTTGAATATAGAATCATTTGTACAGCGTATTAAATTGAGGCCTAAGAGTGTATGTGAGTATGTCTAGATAAATATATTGAAAATCTTTAAGTGGTGTCACAAAAATGTGGAAAAATGTATATATGTTTTTAACTCTTCCTATTGCTCCAGATAACCTTTCCCTATAACTCCTCCTATTACTCCATATAACCTCTCCCTATAACTCCTCCAATTATTCCATATAACCTCTCTCTATAACCCCTCCTATTACTCCATATAACCTCTCCCTATAACTCCTCCTATTACTCCATGTAACCTCTCCCTATAATTCCTCCTATTACTCCATATAACCTCTCCCTATAACTCCACTTACTACTCCATATAACCTCTCCCTATAACTCCTCCTACTACGCCATATAACCTCTCCCTATAACTCCTCCTATTACTCCATATAACCTCTCCCTATAACTCCTCCTTTTACTCCATATAACCTCTCTCTATAACTCCTCCTATTGCTCCATATAACCTCTCTCTATAACTCATCCTAATATTCCATATAAGCTCTCTATAACTCCTCCTATTACTCCATATAACCTCTCCCTATAACTCCTCCTATTACTCCATATAAACTCTCTCTATAACTCCTCCTGTTACTCCATATAACCTCTCCCTATAGCTCCTCCTATTACTCCATATAACCTCTCTCTATAACTCCTCCAATTACTCCATATAACCTCTCCCAATAACTCCTCCTATTACTCCGTATAACCTCTCTCTATAACTCCTCTTGTTACTCCATATAACCTCTCTCTATAACTCCTCCTCTTACTTCATATAACCTCTCTCTATAACTCCTCCTGTTACTCCATATAACCTCTCTCTATAACTCCTCCTATTACTCCATATAACCTCTCTCTATAACTCCTCCTATTACTCCATATAACCTCTCCTATAACTCCTCCTCTTACTCCATATAACCTCTCCCTATAACTCCTCCTATTACTCCATATAACCTCTCTCTATAACTCCTCCTATTACTCCATATAACCTCTCTCTATAACTCCTCCTATTACTCCATATAACCTCTCTCTATAACTCCTCTATTACTCCATATAACCTCTCCCTATAACTCCTCCTATTACTCCATATAACCTCTCTCTATAACTCCTCCTGTTACTCCATATAACCTCTCTCTATAACTCCTCCTATTACTCCATATAACCTCTCCCTATAACTCCTCCTATTACTCCATATAACCTCTCCCTATAACTCCTCCTATTACTCCATATAACCTCTCTCTATAACTCCTCCTATTACTCCATATAACCTCTCCCTATAACTCCTCCTATTACTCCATATAACCTCTCTCTATAACTCCTCCTGTTACTCCATATAACCTCTCTCTATAACTCCTCCTCTTACTTCATATAACCTCTCTCTATAACTCCTCCTATTACTCCATATAACCTCTCCCTATAACTCCTCCTATTACTCCATATAACCTCTCCCTATAACTCCACCTATTACTCCATATAACCTCTTTTTATAACTCCTCCTATTACTCCATATAACCTCTCCCTATAACTCCTCCTATTACTCCATATAACCTCTCCCTATAACTCCACCTATTACTCCATATAACCTCTTTTTATAACTCCTCCTATTACTCCATATAACCTCTCCCTATAACTCCTTCTATTACTCCATATAACCTCCCTCTATAACTCCTCCTATTACTCCATATAACCTCTCCCTATAACTCATCCTATTACTCCATATAACCTCTCTCTATAACTCTGCATAGTGTGCTATGTATATTGCTACATTGTGTATTGTTTTCTTGAAGTGCTCTTACAATGTAGAGTAAATGATACACTTTTTAAAGAGCCCACAACGTATAATAGATTCTGTTCTCTCTCAGCATGAAGTTACTGGACTCAGTACTGCGACACATTGGCCTAATGCGAGTCTATTCTTTTGTCATGTTTGCAGGATTTCTCCCACCAAGCCCCCCAGCCCTGAGTAATTCTTGTTTTCCACTTCTCCTGCTCTTTCTTCCCTCCAGTCGTGCCCTCTCTCAGCTATACCTCCCCACCCTCAGTCCCCCTCCTCCCCTCTCCCTCTTTCCTGTAACTCTAGCTTGTCTTAGAGACTGAGGTAAGAATGAGGGCGCTTTCTGCAGAGAGGCCCCTGTGACTTCAGGAGGTAATTGAAACCATAGGGTTGGGTGGGGGGAGGGGGTGCCTCAGCTCCAAAAATCAAAGACTCTTTGGGGATGGGAAACATGGGTCTGCAGCTGGGCTGACTTACAGCAGGGAAAGGTAGAGGACACAGAGTGGGGGTACACCTGTCTGTCTGCGTCTTGAATCTCCCAGGAGGCTAATTACATTCACAGCGCTGGACCTCCGGTGACAAAATTTCAGTAAGAAGTACCTCCAAACTGGAGTTGTATTGGGTCTTCCATGTTTCGAGAAGGTTTGATCTCTTTCTGTGGTAAAAAAAAAAAAAAACTTTGAAATATAACAAGCTCTTTTATTTTTACAATTCTGCGATATTGCCTTGGTCTTGATTCATAATTGTGTACTGTGATTTTTTTTTTCCACTAAAACAAGACTGGTGGAGGATTGACAAAAGAACCTCAAATTTGGGCCAAAATATGCGATTTTTAAACATTCCTTTAACTGTTTATTTTGACGTAAATTTAGCAGTTGCCTTTCCAGTTCTCCTTTATTCCTGGTTTACTAAATAAATTCCAAAATAACCCGCATCACTAATGGAATTATTAGAAAATTACAAGGCATATACTGTGTATTCTGCAGTTGTTATAATACTTCAAAGGTACCTATAAGTACTATGAGCACTGCAAAACTTTAAACATTTACTTTTCCTAATACGATCAGCCAATCACTGCCATTCAGGTTGTATGGAATTGATACTGGTAGTCATTAAATATATTAACATATCACGAAAGTTCCTTAAAAGTGGACAGCCCGGGTGCCAAGGAGAGCCCATGTTTTTGTCAAACCAATCAAATGTACGACAGTGCCTTTTGGGTTTTGCCACCATAACCTCTACACTGAGCCAATCTATTAAAACATTGCAGACAAGTGGTTTACAAGCGATTGGTGTTAATAGCGTGTCAGGTACAAACAACATAGGAAGACGGAAGTAAAAGATGGGTCGAAAAAAGAAGAGAGAGAGGAAAAAATTGAATAAATATACTTTTTACTGAGTATAATAACTTCCATAATATATATTAGAACCCATATGTCATTTCCCACAACATGCCACAATCAGAACGTTCAAGTCCATTTTATTCTTCAGGTCTTCTTGGGCTACAAGAGCCAGATGTATATTTTGTGCAAGACAGAAACTCATTTGTTGGCTGAGAGCATCAGATGAACATTCTCATGCAAATAATGTTTTTCTTCAAAGGGACACTATAGTCAACAGAACAACTACAGATTAACGTAGGTGTTCTGGTGAGTAAAGTCAGTCCCCGCAGGATTTTAATGTATTTAAATTATAGCCTAGGGACACATTTAGTTGCCACTCCTCACATGAACACTAGAGGTTCTTCCTGGGGCAGTGCTGCACTGACGTTCAAAGAGATACTGAATGGCTAGGACGGCGTTTGGTCCCGTCCCCCGCCCCACCTCCTTGGCTGCGATCATCAGAATTGACGATCTCAGCCAATACAATGCATTCCTATGAGATGCATTCCTATGAATTCTGATGATGTCAGCCAAGAAGGCGGATCGGGGACTGGGCCAGCGAACCCGCACAGAACTGGTAAAAAAAGTGAGTTTTTTTTAAACTTATTTAAGGGTGAGCAAGGACCCTACATGTGTTTATAACACTATAGGGTCAGCAATACATGTTTGTATTCCTGACCCTATAGTGTTCCTTTAATAAATGTGTAAAATTACAAAATATATGGCCATACATATTACAGGGATCAAATAACCACCTCTCAGTACTTTTTAAGTCATTCATTATCACCATCCAATTTTGCAGCTTTAGTAGCTGTACTAATATGAAAAGACTACAATAAATAATGTCCTGCAACCGGCACTTTGTTCCACTTCTTGTGTGTTATGTTTAAACCCTCGATACACTGCACTCCCAAAGACTGGTCTTGGCTGTCCATAGTGGCTCGTGTTCAATTTTGTCAGACACACACTCTCATATACACTGACAAACAATGACATACATACACACTATTACTTGGACACACACTGACAGACACACACACTGACAGATGCACACACACTGACAGACGCACACTCTCACTGACAGACGCACACACTCATTGGCAGACGCACACACTCACTGACCGACACATACACACTCACTGACCAACACATACACACATTTACTCACAGACACACACTTTCACTCACATAGACACACACACTTACAGACACACACAAACACACACACATACACACTTACAGACACACACACACACACACATTCACTTACAGACACACACACATACACACTTACAGACACACACACATTCACTTAGACACACACTTACAGACACATACACACACACACACACACACTTTCAGACACATTCACATTTCTCCCAACACTCACAAATTATTATTTCTATTTTATTTTAAATCCACCCAGCCTCCCT